TGGTTCGTCTGACTGAACTATAGACTGTAAATATTAACTGAACACCAACATGCTTTTTCTTGTTAAACCTGTGTGTTTGTAATCTAATCAAATGTTCTAATTCTAAATATTTTGTTAAAGCGACTTAGTTGCATAAGAGTAAAATTACAGTAACTAATTCCTTGTAACTGACTTTCACCCAACAATGACTGAAAAATCACTTGACTTTAACTTCTCCCAGATGCAGGCAGGACAGTCGACACTGATCCAAACACACCCAAAACCCACTTTTCATCATTTTTTTTATTTCATCATTGTACATTTTTATAATCGAACTATCTGTGAAAGAAAAAAAAAAAATCTGCAGTAACAGGAGTCGCCATGCTTTTACAGTCGCCACGGAAACGCCAAAGTGAAAATGGGTCTTATGTACAGAGTCCGAAGGTTCCGTGTGTAAAATCTCAAATTGGCCGAGAAGAAGAGAGGAGTTCCAGGCCACAGAAACGGAGACGGAGGAATTAAACCAAAACAAATAAAGTCTAAATGAACATTCAAGAGTTGTTTTAATTCAGATCTTTTGCCCCTTTTCAAGTTAAAGCCCCACTTCACTTCACATCATCATCATCATATTCAGGAAGTCAAAACATGTTTAAATCAAAATGCTGATAGGTAAAATATTTAGCATGATTGGGTTCTATGTTGGCCCTTAAACATGGACATGGGATTTCATGTTTTAAATGTGAATCAAGTTGATAAACAAGCTACATGCTGGAATAAGAATAAGTGTCAGAATGAGCAACACCCCCGCCAAGTGACAGAATTGGGTAATTACATTGTCAGTATTATAATTCTAATGGTGTGATCCCGTTGAAGGCACACATTTGTAAGTAGTGCAATTGGGCTGGAGAAATTGTTTATGAGCCAAGTGCCAGGTAATGGTGTGGATGGAGCTAATCAACCCCAGGTCCGTTTGTGATGAGGGCCAGTGTTGTTACATGGTTAAGAGAGAAGGTAATATTTCATCTCAAACCATCCACTTCAATTTTAGTACAATTTATTTCCCCCTCAGTGGGCGGAGGCTGTTTAATAAAAATGTTAAATCAAGAACCACAGCTGGTTAAAAACTGAATTTCTCCCCGCTTTAAAGATGCACTGAGTAACTTTACAAGAATCTATCCAAACATTTCTCCTGGAATCTTACACAGTCAAACATGTTAACGCATCACGAGAGTCAACCTTTGTTAGCCAAGATACAAGTCATGTCTGTGGAGAGGCGAGTCTGCTCACTGTTGTTGTTGTGAGCCTGTAGCAACAGTATTTGCATTTCCTTGATTTGGAAACTAAAGTTTTGTTAGTTTATCTCGTCTTTGTCTACCTAATGCTCGCTTGCTCATAGGGACAAATAAGAGAGCACATCACCCCTGTGCTGGTGTCACCTCACTGGCTCCATTGCATTCAGGGTTGATTTTAAGACTAATTCTAGCCCAGAATCGTCGAACTGGTTGCATTAAGAGCCGGTGTAACTGCAGGTTTTCATTTCAACCAAGCAGGAGCACGACAGACTCGACCCATTTCGTCACGACTCCAGATTGAGACTGGATCAACATGAGGAAATGGATGGACCCTGGTGTGCTCCTGCTTGATTGGAATGAAAACCTACAGCCACTCAGCCCTTTGAGGACCAGATATATGACAGAACCGATATCTTTGCATGCTCCCGTTAGATCGGGGAGGTCAGAAAACCAGATTTTGCTCAACTCAAAACTGGAGATGCTGTTGCGGCTCCAGAACTGTGGATCAGTTGTCCTCGATACATCCCAATTCATAATATGTATGTGTATTTCATATTTCAATTTATTTTCACAATTGCTGGTATACATGTGAAAGTCTATGGGCAGCTGGAGTTGTAAATGTGCTATACAAAGTAAAGTTGACGTTGACAAAAGGGATGGACACAATTTTCTGATGACACTAGACCTTCTGCTGCACAAACTTGTATTCATGTGGTTGTAACATTAACCAGATCAGTCACAGAATGTTCCCCAAATATGGCTTTAAACATGTCAGAAAAGTTACATAGTGCAGCTTTAAGACACAAACTATTCAGGGCACTTCATCTGACTCAGCAATTCTACCCTCACCGCCGGTCAACAGTTCAGGCTCACCCAGACAATCTCAGCTTGAATCAAAAGAGCATTTTTCAGCGCTGCTCAGATCATTCACAAGAGTTTTCTAATTATCAATTATTCCTTATTTGACGCCGGAGCTGCGGAAATGTAGACGTGTGTCTTCATTCCATAAAAAAATTGCATTTTTGCAGCTTTGATAGTCGGATAAGCAGGTGATCGATGGAAAATTCAATTAATGTTATAAAATAATAAATAAGAAATGTCCAAGTGATCCCAAACTGTTGAACTGCAGTGTAAAAAAATGTGCAAATAAAAACAAAATGAAAGCCTTCAGAGAACAATAACGCGCCAGGATTGTTTGTGCTGACCAGACTAATAATCTATACTTACTATAACTAAACCGAATCAACAAGGTATAAAACAGGAGTGTCCCAGAATTAAACCAATAAACATGAAAAATTACATATTTTTGATCATTCTAAAACACACCGTGGGCCACAACAGCGAGTGTGGAGGACCTGATTTTGCCCGGGGGCCATACGTTGACAACCATGGCTGCACACTATGACGCATAGAAAAGTCTGGTCAGAAACAACGACAAAATAAAACTCCGATAAATTATAACTAATATATATAACTTGACTAAAAAAGAAAAAAAAAACATGAGCAGAATAGATTTGTACATGTAGTAGAAGCTTTGGCCCATTCCAACGTGAAGAACCCATCCAAAAGTCCAGAAGAGAAAAGAGCGAGAAAAGGGATCTATCCTACGGCTTCATACACATACACACACACACCCACATAGACACACACACACACACACACACACACACACACACACACACACACACACACACACACACACACACACACACACACAGTCAGTGCTCTTCCCATGCAGACGTTATTAAAAAATATATTATTAAAAAAAACAGGAATGACAAAAACGAAAAAGGAGTCGGCTGCAATGCAAGAAGAGAAAATCTAGACTGGTTCGACACGACTTAAGTTCAGGTTATGGCTCTGGACCGCACTGGTCTGAAGAGATTTCTGACCGAGAAATACGTCGGTAAAATGGTCTGCAACGTATGAATCTGAGAAAGTAGTGAAAAAAATGACCACATTAAAAGAACAAAAACCTGAATTTGAGTCATTTTAAAACAGCTTTTTTTTTTTTGCAGAGCAGCAGCAGCAGAGACGGTGGAGGCCTCTGTTGGCTTGGACCAGGCCTGTCACGATAAATGGGTCTCGTTGTAGAAGAAGTGGTACGACATATTCTGAGGTTCAATATTCCTCGTCTGTAAATTGCACATGTTGGCGGCCGAGGGTTGCACTGACGCTTTATTGTCATTAGGGATGGGACAACTCTGATTGTTTGTGGTGGACTTTTGAACGATGTGCTTGTGCTGCTCCTCTGCTCTGAGGGAAACACCAGTGGACAGACGTGTGGGACAGGAGAAAGGCACAAATGGACTGCTCCATCCAGCATTGTTGGTGACGTGACAGATTAATACTCGACCTGCACTGATCCACTTTTTGTGTCCTGTACACTTTGAAGACTAGGAATTTTAACTCGTAAGAAAGGTCCTTTACAAACAGCGCACGCAGAGAATGACTGACTTGGATCCGGATCTTCCTGTGCTGCCGCAAAAACGTAAAGTGTGTGGAACTTCAGGATTTAAAAAGGTTACGTGTGTGCCAATTCAAAATGTAATGTGTGCGATCTGTGTCACTCGCTAACTCACGGTTAATCCTTGTGCTCCGCAACAATCACATGTCCCCGTTTCAATTTTGGCAAATGCAAAAATGTGTGTGAAATAACAAGGCAAAGGACAGAAGAGGATCGAAGAAGGAGAGGAAGCAAAATCTCCCAAGATACTTTGTGTGAATGCTGCAGGTCTCTCGCTGGAGCACACGGGGGCTAGGACACAGCAGCGGTGGACTTGAAGTGTGAAAGTGCATTTCCTGCCGTACAATTCAGTGTAAACGCAGATTTTTTATTCTACCACAGTTTAAGATCTAATGCACCTTTTGTATTGAGAAGGAAAAGTCAAATAGAAGCGTGTGTTGGAGCGCCTTGGGCATGTCTCCCTGGAGGATCTGAGGCTCTGTACAAAGAGGCTGATCCGGATCTAAGCTCAAGTCACACCAGGACCTGGAGGGACGCGGATCAGAAAACAGGCTATGACGGTGTACACAGAGCCAGCACTCCAGAGTCGGTCGTCAGGTGTGTTTGTAAAGGGCTAAAGTGAACAACAAAGTGTTCACTGCCAAGTGTAAACAATTGTAACCATTTTAAGTTTTGTCTGAATGAAAGATAAAATGGTCTATTGCAGCAAATGAAAAGGCCCAATCAGGACATCAACCAGTTTTCTGGGATCAGTGCAGATGAATACAATTACAGTATCTGTAATGGTTTATGCACAAATAATAGGAGCAAAACTAGTCTGTGTGTGAGGCCTAGAGTCTAGAGCCTGTATAGGAGAGGACAAAGCTGGATGAGTTTGGTCCAGCTGGAATACACTATAAATAAAACTATTTTATCATTCCTGCTACACGATTCTGGTATTTTATTTACATATTGTCTTTGGAAAATCAACATATGAACAATAACACGCGAGATACGCAGCCCGCCCCTCGCTCCTGATTGGCTTTGAGACAAACACTCAGAATACGGAGACTAGCGGCGATATGATTAGCCTTCAGAGCTCCATCCCAGTCACACTCACTGCCCTCTTTCTCTGCGATTAATACTGCCACAGTCCATTGTTAATGTGGCTTTTTGAATATGTCTCGGTGTCCCATCTCTAATCACAATATTTGTCTGTGGTGATGTGCTTCGTACGGTGACGAGCGATCGTGACAGGCCTCGTGTGACCCTGCTGTGGCTCCTCAGTCGATCTTCACAGCTGCGTAGATCTTGCGGATGAACATGTAGGCGGCGTAGAAGCCGATCGTCCCCGTGAGCAGCCAGAAGGACAGGACCATGAGCATCGTGTAGCCGAAGTACAGCAAGGAGGGGATGAACTCTACGATGTCCAGCTGTGGAAGACACCAGAGAGAGGTACGGCTTTACCATGTGTAGAACATAGAGTGTATGTTCGGAGAAGACAGAGTGTGACATGTCTGCCGCCTGAACAGGGGCAGACATGTTGCAGACATGTTGCTAACATGTTGCTAACATGTTGCTAAGATGGTTTCCCTTGCAAATGCGTGGCTTCTGATTGGTCAATCCTTATATAGCTCATATCTGAGCCCTCTCTAGTGAGGACATTAGACGGGAAATGTAAATAAAAAAGTGCTTTTGTCTACTATAAATCTAAACCCTTTCTCCAGAGCAGAATTATAATGCAGTGGAACCAACACAAGGGAAAGAGGTGCTTTGTTTTAATTTGCTGTTGTTGATTCAGTCTGATTTTATGCACCTGTTGTAGCACGCTGAAGTGCAATTTAAATAAAATCTTTTATGATTATATGCTTATTTAGGATATAATCATAGGTCAGAGACCTATGCTTTTTAATCTTGTTTAGTCCGTTTCATGGTACGATGACGGGATCTCTGAGCCTGGCCTCCTCCATCTACACCTGCGGACTGCCCCGCCCGACCCGCCTGGGAGTGCTTCAGTCCTGCGCCGGACCTGTCCACGTTCAGCGGCCACTGGTCCACGTTCTGTGGCTAGCTTAGGTCCTAGATCATTAGCCTATCCGTCCGGAGGAGCGGATCCCTTTCTCATATGGGTCTCCCTCCCTGTGGGTTTCCCTAGTTCTCCCCAAGGTTTCTCACTTTTTCCCACTGGGTTTTTTAAGAGTTGTTCCTTGTCGATGCAGGAGGGTCTTGTTGGACAGTTAGTGTCCAACAGAAAGGATTGGTGATGATCAGGACACTTTAGCATTCTACAACATGTATGGACATTTTCTTCTGTGAGTGCTTTATATTTTTCATGTGTTTTAACTGTTGACTCTCTGACCTGTGTTGGTGATTTCAATGGTTTTGTTAAGTCCTCTGAGATGACTTCTGTTGTGACCTAGGGCTATACAAGAATAAATTGTATTGTAATCTTGGCGGGCTGCAGCCGGCCTGGCCAGAAGAAGCCAGAATCACTGTATATTTCTCAGACTGATTACTTTTTTGCACACGTGAGAAGCGCATCACAAGAGCACCAGCGCAGAAAAGCGCAGCATGTTCAGATGGAGTAGAGCGCTGTGGTCTTGGTGGACTCTTACCTTGTTGACAAAGTAGAACATGGCATAAATCAGAACATAAAAGGCTGATCCTCCTGAAACCAGGAACGTCCTCCACCACCAGCGGTAGTCCTGACAAACACAGGAGAAACCAGAAGGAATGATGTACATCTCAAACATAATGTTCATGTTTATTCTCTCTTCATTCAGATTGTTTAACATTGCTGCATATGTCCTGGTTCTATAGCCTCAGTCCTGGATCTACAGCCTTGTTCGTCCGTGGGAGTGAATGTGAGCCTCCCAGAGGTTTCTCACCCGTATCCCAGTATTTTTCAGTTGATCTTTGCCGATAAAAAAGGGTCTAAGGACAGTGATGATCCGGGACATTTCAGCACATTTATGGACATTGGTCATCCTGCTCCTATTGGACTAATAACTATGTGGTTGTTATTATGTTTCATTCTTTGATCAACTACTTTCCGTAAAGACCTCAGAGGCAACTGTTGTGATTGAGGGCTGGATAACATAAAAATATGAATTTAATTTCCTAAGAAGATTATCCAATATGTTATAATAGTTTGTCTCTAAAGCCTTTATGAGCTGTAAATATTGTGCTTTTGTCTGCTATAAATCTTATCTATGAAGCGAAACAGAGCAGTTATAAAAATGCATTTGAAATGTCCACACTAATCTACAGTGTAACAGAGAAACAGGTGTGCAAGTTCAAGTTCATAGAGAGTGTTTGTTTGAGTTTACCTCTGCACAAAGCTGGAAATAAACCATGACGATGCTGATCTGAGAGCAGGACACCACCAGGATGATAAAGACCAGGAAGAGGAACCCAAACAGGTAGTAGAACTGGTTCTCCCAGATGGCCTGCACAGAACACCATACAGAACAGGTTTGTTTAGGGCAGCTGTGGCTGCACCACAGCAGAACTAATACTTCTTTACAAGATCGACTTGAGATTAATGCGGAAGCAGCCACAGACATCTGTTGCTGTGTCTGCATACTGTATCCTGAAGACACATATGCAAATGACTTATGGTTCTAAAGACACATATGCAAATGACTTATGGTTCTAAAGACACATATGCAAATGACTTATGGTTCTAAAGACACATATGCAAATGACTTATGGTTCTAAAGACACATATGCAAATGACTTATGGTTCTAAACTCACACTGAAGATGAAGAAGAGCTCGATGAACATGGCTCCAAAGGGCAGGATGCCGGCCATGAGGATCCTACAGACAGAGAGGACAGTTATCAAGCTGGTGCCTGGACTCATGAGGCCCCTAACAGTCAGTTACACACTCACCCCACAAACTTGTTCATGTACCAGCGCTGCTCCGGCACCTGTCGGGGGATCTGATTGGTCCTCACTGGGTTATCATAAGGCTGCTTCCTGAAGCCAAAGTAATATCCTAGATACACCAGAGGCATGGAGATGCCGAACCACATGCAGAGCAGAGCCAGCATAGTGGTGAAGGGGACCTGGCAACCACACACACACACACGTTACAACCACTGACAACATGAAGGGGCATTTGGAGGAAAAAAAAAATCTAATCTAATCTAATCTATCTAGCAGCAGGTTGAAGAGAGTAGGAGATTGTTTATACAGTAATAAGCCAATCTAACCCAAACCAGGATTGCCTTTTGGCTTTTTTGACATCAGTCTTTTGGCCTGCGTTTTGGGCATAAACATTGTTAGAGGACCAAGTAATAAGAAAAATAGTAAATCTGGCTCAGCAATTAAAGTCTATTGAAATATGTTCTCAAACATCAAATCTTTCTGATTATTATGAATTCATTCCAGCTCTAAAAACATGGCTGTCGTAAATGAGACCTAAAGTTCTGTTCATAATGAAGTTTTTGATGTGAGGGCAGTGGCTTTGAACCAGTGTGAACGCGACATATTCACACACTTAGGCCTGTCACGATAACGTATTTTGCTGGACGATTAATTGTCTCGGAAATTATTGCGATAAGCGACTATATTGTCGTTCTGAGATCATTTGCATCGATTACAATGATAATGCAGGTACACCTTTTCAAAGAGAAATATACTTTTATTTTTAACGAATATTTAACGCTAGAACACAATAAACTGATTGTGTTTTAGATGCATATGCAAGTTTGTTGTGTTGCCGCTTTTAACTGCAACTGTTGCGACACACCGACTCGCACATGTTCAGTGGTTCACCACGGGCATTCGGTTTAAATCCGAAATGCTCCCACACTGCAGCTGTCGCGTTTGGCTTGGAAACCAATTCCATCGTTTTGTCCCGCACTCGCAACTAGCTTTCTCTCTGCGTAGTGCCTACCGGTAAACTTCTCTCGCGGCTCCTCAGCTGCACTCTGTGGGCTACGCCAGTAGTCCCACCTCCCCACACACCAGGCGAATGACAAGTGACATGCGGGTTCACCAATGGGGCGTACAGAAGTCCTGCTGCGGTAGCGCCCACCGGAAGTAGCGGGGCAGGCTTTGATGCTAACAGCTAAGCTAGCGGGTTTTTTGTGTAAAGTTCTACTCCAAGAATGCAAGTCTGCAGCATCTCTGTGTTCAGAGACCTTCTAGAGACTTTATATAACAGCAGTATGTGTTCACGGAGGTGCGCCATAAGTTTATTTTATTGGTACGGTACGGTACTTCTGCATCGGCGAACACGCTAACGCTAGCTGCGCTAGTATAGTCACTAATCAAGCCTGAATGAGAACTCAGCTGCCGGCATATGTTCACAACTACTGTGTCCCCCATTGTCAATCCTGGTTAAGTCCTGGTTTAGGTCCTGTTTTGGCTGTATTTTGTATTTTTGAGTAATTTCCGTCTGCTTGCTAGACCGCTAATGTTCCCGTGACCACTTTGCGGCTCTGACCCGAGAGAGAGGGGGAGAGAGAGACGGGGGAAACAAACAAGCATGCAAATGGGATTTATCGCGGCCAGAAAAGTTATTGAGCAAATTTTATTTATCGTGCGATTAATTGATTTATTGACTATCGCGACAGGCCTACACACGCTGTAAAAAGCTTCCCAGAAATCTCCACAAAAATAACATATGAACTTTTGGTGAATGTGGCCAAACTCTCCAAATGCTCAGTGCTTCACTCACAGCTCCGGACGAGTGCTCTCCCCAGATAAAACAGTTGAGCACAAAGCAGATCCCAAACACCACAGCGGGGTACAGTGTCGCCGTCTGCAGGACAAACACACAAACACACGTCACCTTGGCTCCCGTACACACGCTGTCTGTGTCTGAGGGGACTTACACAGAAGGCTCCTTTCCTCCACCTGTGGCCCTTCAGTGTGCGGTACAGTCTGCCGGCAAAGTACCCTCCAAACACCCTGCAGAGGACACGCCATCAGAATCGCGCACACACACACACACACACGCACAACCACACGTTTTGGAGATTACAAATAACACAACTTTTCTCTCCCTCATTGTTAGTCGTATGTATTGTAAATTAGTGGAATCATAATATAGTGTGACATTCATGCAAGGTGGCCCAGGAATGTACAGGAACCAGAAGTCTTTTGCCAAGAAGAGGATAAGAACCTCATCCACAACTACAACTATGACGTCATATTGCCATTTGTATTTGTGTATTGCTCCACCACGTGCAAACAATTTTCCCCTTGGGGACAATAACGTTTTTGAGTTGAGTTGAGTTGATAGTAGTACAATTATGTCACACTCAGTCACTGGCTCAGTTTGTAGAGCACTGGCCTGTGCTTGCCTTGATGTGTGTGTGCATATGTATATGTACAGTATATGTGTATGCATCAAACTGAAATATCCCCATTGTGGGACGAATAAAAGACCTTCTATTACAAGACTGAGACGGGCGCTTTAAGTCAGAAGGGGCGGAGCTACAGGTTTGTGCCAGAATTTCCTGACATTAGAGTGGATGGATCTAAAAACAACTCCAGGTCTGTGTCAATTTTCACAAGTCTCTTTTAAAAGGGGCGATGCACACTATTGACTTGTGGATGGATACAGGGTCAGAGGAGAAGTTCTGTTGTCATAATCATTTTAAAATAACTAGCCTTCATAATCCTCAAAATAAGGGGAAAAATATGCAAAATACATCAATAGTCCCTGGGGCCCCTCTTTTAAGCACAACTGTATATATATATAAAACCATGATCACAAAGCTCTGACCCCATGAACATGAAGAGGAAGCAGGCGGTGGTCATCAGGGCGCCTCTGCTGGACGGAGACAGCATCCCCAACATGGCCACGACTGGGAGACAGCAAACATCACGCCGTTAGCCACCAGCGCCATCATGAGCGTGTGCGTGTGGTGCAGAGGTGGACTCACAGATGACGATGAGGATCATGCAGAAGAGCTGGATGCCCGAGCCCAACAGAGAGCTGAGGATCATGGGATACTGAGGAGGCCTGAACACGTCTCCATGCACGTTCTTCCAGCCCGACTCCTCCATGGTGTCCTCCTGCGGCACAGACACACAACAGATGGCCGTTCGTGTGGGTGTGTGTGTGTGTGTGTTTAAGACCCCGCTCGCTGCTGGCTGGCAGTGCACTCACGATGTCGTCTTCTCTGTTGTAGTTGGCGATGTCTTTCCTTAGGGTTCTGATGATGATCATACTGAGGATTCCTGTAACAAACACAAACACACACACTTATGAGCACTCTGACACCACAAACATGCACACACACCAGCGCACTGACCGGAGAGGAAGAACACCACCACCACGGAGTTGACGATGGAAAACCAGTGGATCTGGACGTCGCTCATGGTCAGATACGTGTCCCAGCGAGACGCCCACTTGATCTCACTCTCCTGGACAAAACGCAAAACACAACAGTCCAGTGATATGCACAACTTTCACAACTTTCAGGAAGAAGCAGTAAATAAATAAAAAAAGCCCTGAAGCTGCACAGTTCCCGATTCTCAAATGGTTGACAATAAAATAACAATCTAAAATAATTAACACATTTGTTTTTTATTTGGCGCTTTTCAGGACACGCAAAGACGCTTCACACCTCATTAATCTTTCACACCATAGTAGTGATAAACTACTACTGTAGCCACAGCTGCCTTGGGGCACACTGACAGAAGACCCTCAAGGTCGCCTTACATTCAAGTAAAAATGTTCATGGAATCTGAGGAGGATCCATTACGGAGTCCCTTTGACGCTCGGACTGAATGCATGCTTTTGTTCATATTGTGTTGCACTGTTGTCAGGTGGTTTTTTGCAGCAGTAGATGGATTGTAGTCTAATAGGAATGTACGATTTTACCCAGTGAGATAATAAACATACATTCAGAAATACCATTGTCCCAGTGTTATGACCATTTTTATGCATTTTACTAATGTCTAATTGTTGGGTAAAATGATATGTTTGTGATAACTATTTAATTGCTGAATGTATTTTATAGTTTTAGAGCTGAAATGGGAGATCTTGGTTCAGGTGTACTCCCTTAAATATGCTTAAAATAAGTTAGCCTGGTTTTAAGTTAGCCTGGTTTTAAGTTAGCCTGGTTTTAAGTTAGCCTGGTTTTAAGTTAGCCTGGTTTTAAGTTAGCCTGGTTTTAAGTTAGCCTGGTTTTAAGTTAGCCTGGTTTTAAGTTAGCCTGGTTTTAAGTTAGCCTGGTTTTAAGTTAGCCTGGTTTTAAGTTAGCCTGGTTTTAAGTTAGCCTAGTTTTAAGTTAGCCTAGTTTTAAGTTAGCCTAGTTTTAAGTTAGCCTAGTTTTAAGTTAGCCTAGTTTTAAGTTAGCCTAGTTTTAAGTTAGCCTAGTTTTAAGTTAGCCTAGTTTTAAGTTAGCCTAGTTTTAAGTTAGCCTAGTTTCAAGGCCTACAGTTTTTGACTGCACTGGTTGCACTGGTGGAACCAGTGCAGTTTTTTACCGGTTTTGTGCAAAGTGAAACCACCATCTGTGAGTTTGTACATGAATTCGTTAAACACACCGGCACGTCAACCACAAGTGAAGGTCCAGACTGCTAGAGTGATTACAGTTGATTTTGATACTAGGGCTGTGATCCTCCCATCCACTACAGCGAGGGTGAACAGAACACTGACCTCCCAGCGCACAGAGTAGGTGAACTGGACCTCGTTCTCTTTGGTTGGGTCGATCTCCTGTGGGACTGACCCACTGGCCTCTGGTAGTGTGCAGGACTTTGCATTCTCATCTGCTTTTAAGTCTGTGACACAAGAAAGGATAACACTAATGATTAAATAAAATATCTATGTACATATATCTCTATAAAAGTATATAAAATGTGCGTACAAGGAAGTGTGAGCGATCATTACCTTCCACTTTGACGCTCTGGGGGACGACCTCGAAGCGCACCACTCTGTAGCTGTGCGTCTCCCCCTCCTCCAGCTTCTCTCTGTGGAAGTACAGGATGAACGACAGGTGGTTGTGGAGGTAGACCTGTAAGAGACGAACAAATACACACACTCTGTTAGAATACCACCAACGACAAACATACTACGCAAATATAGTGAATACTATATGACGCACACATAATAATGGTTTGCAAACGACACACACATCGAAGAAAAGGGTTGTGAAAACTGCCAGAATTGATTATCTGCCTTCTTGAGATGGACATTTAAAGCAGGGGTACCTAACTTTATGTTTTCCAAATACTACATGTTATTTGTGAACCAATCAGACCAACACATGTGGTCTTCTTCTGATTTATCAGAAAACATGTCATATTTTTCATACTTGTAAGAAAGACCCCTGTGAGTCACTATTCGACCACTTGGGTGTGATTGGAAAATGTATGCTAAACTGTGGTTGGGTCCTGAGGCAAGACACTTGACACACTTCTGGTGTATGTGTGCCTGTGCAAAATACTAAAAAAAATAAATAATCTAATTTCTCTCAATATTAAGATGACAGAGCAACAACACAGCATAGTTGGATGTAAAGTGCATAAACCTCAGGATCCTCATAAATAAATAACTCAGTGTAGACATTTAAGTGTGTACAGTCACAGAGACGTGGAGATAGTGGCAGAATGAATGCAGCGAAGTTCAGTTCAGAGCTATTGTTGGTGGATGTGGTTATTATCGTGCTAGGGTGGGCAATTAAGAGATTAAGAGATCCTTTATTTGTCCCACAGTGGGGAAATTTCAGAATTTTCGCTCTGTGCATTAAAATGGAGACAGATGATGCGGCTTCCAATCTAATGGAAGAAGTCCAGTGTTTTCTCATGTTTATATTGAATTTCAATAATAATAGAAAATTGAGGTTGATCAAAAAGAGAAAAATAATCCCAGATTGCCCGGTCCTAGCATGGATGATTGTTCGGTCAGCCTTCCCCATGGCAGCTGTGACTATGGTAAATACAACCACTGGCCTAATTGGCCTCAGAGTCAATAATAAGTTCTGCCCAGAACCCATCCTTGCGATCTGTCTGGACAAACTACCTGTTAGACTTTTCCCTGCCCTATATCGGCTAAACTCACCTTGTCGTTGTCGATGAACCCGATCCTGTATCCGTGCTCAAACTGAATATCTTTGGAAGAGTCTTTCTGTGCATCTTCAGCTGCAGTGTCTCTGTTTGGATAATACTCCAGCCGCGTGGCCACAGGGAGGTTGTCTGCAATTCTGGGCACAAGCAAAACACAAATACCACCATAACTATAATTACAGAGGACACCATTTACTTTTGAATATGCTAGAAACAGCAGCAAGTCCTATATAGCTCTGAAACACTTGTGCTTAACCATTGTTATTTTTCTTGATTTTTTCTACCTGTAAATGTTGCTGTACAGTGTACTGCAGCATGGCTTTAACTGATCCGGACCAGAGCAGAGAGATTTAACAGTCTAAACCAAGCAATTCAAGCAGAAAACCACTGGAGGAATGCAACATTTTGTGAATAGTAATTTTTGTAACTATTGTTAGCACCTTTTAGAATGATGTATTTGTTTTGTGTGTATGGATGGATGTGTTTCTGCTGCTACTGGACACCTGAAATCCTCTAACGGGGATCAATAAAGTATCTTTCTATTTGAGGCAGTACTAAAGTCTTGACAATTAGTAGGTAAGAAAAAGGGAAGGACATGTCTAATCAGCTCTGTAGTCTTGGATGTTGTGACAGAGAAAACAGTGGCGCCACACTCACAGATGGACGTAGTACTCCTCTTTGATGCGCTCGGCGAACAGCTTACTCTCGTCCACGCTCAGCTTCTTCTTTGGACACGCCAGCTCACACTTTTTATCTGTGGTCATTTTCACCTCGTACAGCGTGTTGACGATACGGTCGCCGCGCAAAACCTCTCCTGTAAGCACACATGTCAGGTGTTACACACAACCTCGCCTTTGTGCGCCATTAAAGCTGGGGTACCAAACTTAGAAACCACAAAAACGAAAAATAAAATCCACGCAACTAGTTCATGGCTCTCAAACTGGATGGATCAATCACATTCATGTATTTTTGTCACAACTTGAGATCAGCTTTTTCACTGACAACAAGAAAACGTATTGTACAGCAAATCAGCGCTCGTAAAGCGTATGTAAAACATTTCTATAAAGATACAAGAGGTCTGATTTGTTGCTGTGTTTGTAAATGTGTTACTTAAACCAGACTCTTTCTGTTAGGACTAAAAATCATGGTAAGTTTAACAGAACATTCAAACCCACACTGTTGATAAACTGTATTCTGGCAATTGATTTGCTGGGGATTCTCCACTACATTCACCCACATCTTCAGTGGTATGACCCCCCTCCCCCTCGACCACATCCCCTACTTTGCGTTTGCAGAATGCTTCCACCGCTGCCACACCGAGGTGAAGCATTCGCGATACTGCGCGTTGCATCTATAAATGTGGGTTAAAAATGTATTTTAACCCACAAAAATGTATTTTGACCCGGTATGACGCACTGCCATACCGGGTCAAGCTATTTGTATTCATATAGCTCTGATGGTGGGCAAGGGCCTATGCAGCCAAATGGAAGACAGACAATACTTTAACTGCAGAGATTAATTCTACCGTGGCCTGACCTCTAGCTCTGTGCAAATAGTGAGAATAGAGAATGTGTTGGTGTACCTAGGTTTTCTCCCTTGTACTCCACCCTCTCTGGGAGGCAGAAGGGCAGGGAGTAGAACTCGAAGGGCAGCTGAGTCCTGGAGCTGGTCAGCTTCACTGCCTGGAAACAGACACAATCACAGCGTCATTATGTTCATGTCATTATTAGAAAATCTCCGAAAAGGTAGATATTAGAACAAATCAATTAGAAAAGTGGAAAACGTATTAACGCAAGGATGATACTGCCTGATATCTGTGAGCACAGTTAACTAGACTTCTTGCCGATGCAGGAGGGTCTGTTGGACTGTTAGGCCAGGACTCCACCGGGCACGTCTCCGTTTACGCGCGTTGGTTGCTGCCCGTCAGACGTCCGTAAAGCGGAATAGTGGCCACACCAGCTTCAGCAGCGCAGTTCTGGCTGTGCGTATATTAGCGCCCCGTGAGGCTTTGTTTTAAACAGAAGAAGCGGTGTGTGATTTGCATGAGCTGTGGCTATGATCTATGCAAAGCACGACATATTGAAGCATCGAGGACGTCGCAATGGATGAGGCAAAACTTATTGAAAGCAATTGGAAAAAGGGGAGAGAGAAAAAAGAAAAGAACTCCAAAATATCCAGTGTTGTTGTGAGATCTGTCTCTCATAAGTGCAGTACCTCTGTGGGTAGTGTGTGTGTGTGTGTGTGTGTGTGTGTCTATTAGATCTTTGGATTAGTGCATCAAATTAGCATGGTTTTGCTGTAACACTAAAGGATTGTTCAATGTAACTATGTACAAAGAGAAGTGGAGACTTTGGACACGCCTGATCAGGTCAAACACAGTACGTGGACATATTGAGTTGAACATTGCTCTGACCTTGATATCCACGCTCTCTCCTTCTCTAAAGTCTCGAGGAGCGACTCCAGGGACGTAGAACGAGTGAACAGTGGGCGGCAGCAGCAGCAGCAAGGCCCACCACCACTCCTGGAAACACACAAAGGAACATGTTTCAAAATAATTCCATCAAAGTATAGTATGGTGCATCTCTTCAATCCGGAAGTACACAGGAGGGCTCCTGATTGGTCGGATAATATTGTTTACATCTTGACACAAAGACAATACCAATTCAAAACAAATACATCTTGTAGAGCATTTGAAGCACAGGATGGTGAGTGTGACGTTAATGGCTACAGTTTACCAACCTGGAGCAAAACACAAACCAATGATCACATTCACTTCCCTAAGCGGCTCCAGCGGGTTAAACTGGGGCTGAGTCTGCTGATATGATACGCATCTCAATACAGGGGACTTTCAGTTTGATCTTGAATCTAATTTAACGATACCAATATTTATTCTATTTATCTAAATTTTTGGGACATTTTTACTGGGATTTCTAAATATATTCATCTCTATTCTCAAGAGGCCTCACTTGAGCCACATTCACTGACCTTTAGGGTACTAGACATCTAAACGCCAACTACTCAATTATCAAAATATTTGTTAATTACAGGCTTAAAAATGAATGAGGGAAATGCTGTGCTTATGTTGGCGACATAATCAAATGGTTTCTCTGTGCTCTAAAATGCATATAGCCTTGTCTCAGTAGTATGCGGTTTCCATGGTTACATGACAGCATAAACTGAATAGAAATGGTTAAATCCAGTAACCCCACTGGTTTTTCAGACCTAAATCGTTGTGTCTGGTTTAAATACATCTTGATTAATTGGACAAGTTGAGTTATCTGGTTTTCACAAGTGCTTTGTAAACATGGCCATTGGGCAGTGACCAGCCCTAGACATTTGTATCGCGTTGGAACAAATGACTTGGCAGGATCAGCCCGCACTAAATATTTTAAACAAAAGCTTCACTTTATTGTTCAATAGGTTATAGATTAATAAATATTTGAACACTCTAATAAAGTAAAGAACTTGAATTGTACAATTTCGCCCAAGGTAGAAACTTAATTTAGACCGATGGGTCTGTTGCGTCCAAATGACAGCTTGAGTCTCCACAATAATAATGTACCAGTTTAATAGCGCTTTTTGGGCACTCACTAGTCAATATTTATTAACCTCGTACATGGTGGTGATAAACTACGACTGCAGCCCCTACATCACCCCCTCTCACCACCAACAAACCATACACACTCCACCACACATCAGACTCATACCTGGCAATGTGACTCGTGATGTGCCTTTCCTGAAAGTTGCCTCACCTGGCACCTGGCATTCCCCGAGGTCTCCCATCACAGTACAAACCAGACCCTACCCTGCTTAGCATCACAGGTCCGACTGGATCTGGTTTTCACAGTGAGCCTGTACTTATCTTTGGTGTCTAGATCCTCATATTCAAATAACTGACAAATATTGTACTCACATCTCAATGACAACCCGAAATATCCTACTACAACAACACACACACACACACACACTGACAGCCACTCGAGAGGTTTTACTAAAATTACTTTACCAAAAAACACTCAGTCACAAAATCTGTGACTGACACCTCGATACAAAGCCGCAAACAGCGAAGCTACAGTATCAGAAAACCTTACAGGAGGCTTATAAGTCACTTGTTAAGAAATTGTATGAGGATGATGAAGAAGTAAATCTGCAGCCCAACAGCGAGAAAGACACAGTGCAGTTAAGCACACGATCTGTCACTGTTAGCCTCATGCTAACTTACCACAGCGACAACATCCTCACACAAACACTTCATAAACGTGACAGATAACGTGCCACCGCAGGTAAACACAAGAGGCATGAACAGGTAACATATCGGAGAATCTATTACGGTTCGATAACAGGGGTTTTGTGGTTGTATTAGGGCAGTTTCGAGGCCGAACAGTTGAAGAAAGAGTTGCTGCTGCACTCACCATCCCCGCAGCCGCCATCTTGAATACGTGTCATAAGTGACGTCACGGGAAGGAAGTCAGACAACTGCCAAAAAATATTTTTATTCTAATGACTGTTTTATTAATTATTATTATTATTATTGTTATTACTAGTATTATTATTATTATTATTATTTGTAATATTTGTATTATTTGTATTAGTAGTAGTAGCAGCAGTTGTAGTATTATTCTTTTTTATCATGAATATTAATATTATCATTCCATATCATTGCATTAATCGAAATATTTTGTGGTTTTTTTGCATTGAAAATGAATACACCGCCCTGAGCTAGATAGTTGTTGTATTTAGTGTATTTTAATTGTTTTAAAGCTGGGGTACCTAACTTTGAATTGGATATTTGTAATGCAATCCATCTAACTAGTCTCTCGCTCTCAAAACACTTTGGTTCTATCAATATTTTCCACATGTATGTATTTTTAGCCTGTTTTTCAGAAAAGTGAATAAAGAGAGAATCACCCGCACTCAGCCCAGAGCATCAAATAGTGACTCAGAAGGCTCTTGAGCATTGTGTGCAAAACATGTTTTCTCGTAAGATGAAAGTGGTCTGATTTTACTTCTCTTTCTTTTGGGAGACATGAACGAATCAGGAAATGAATTAGTATATTTTGTACATTATTCATTTTGTGATAAATACTTTTTTAGGTGATACAAAAACTACATGATTCAATGAAAAAAATCAAACATTTTATTTGGCGTACTAAATGATAACAGTTCAAACTCCAGTAGTTCAGTACTTTAATTTCTTACTAGTTCAAAACTGCAGAATGGATCATTGGCGGCTGACATACCATTCTGGGGGCAGACTTTTGTAGTTTCGCAACTATACATTTCTAAACACAAGAACTGCTCTCAAATGATTTTACATTCATAAGCTGATTATTTTTAATAAACGGTGGTAGAAAAATATTGGAATATTATCTTTATTAAAAAGTTTATAACATGAAGCAAAAGATAAACACTTTATTCTATGTACACACTGCTTAAAACAAATACAGACACATGAAACGTGCAATTATCATGTTTTAGGCTAAGTTACCAGTGCAGAGAGAAACAGCAAACAAAATAAGTTAATTTTTCAAAATGAAAAATGAAATGATTCAACTTCAAACAAGATAATCTTCAGAAGGCACAGTAGTAGGAGAATTCAGCCACATTATAAATAAATGTAACAAATAAAAGCAAAATCGTTTCCACTGTTTCCAAAATTCACATTCAAGATCTGCATTTCATATTTTCCATGTTACAAATATGTTGTCGGCCACAGCATGTTGAAGAAGGTTTCTCAAAATAATAAAATAAGCAATGTTAGAAGCTATATTGAATACTTAAAGTCTTTTCATTCCAAGTTCATGGAAACTTTTTACTTTGGCAATTCATGATTTATAACTTTCAATTATAGATAAGCTATGAAAAATAAGGTGCAGATGTAAACAACACAATATGAGGCAGACATGCTCTGTCTATTGTGTTATAGATTGCACAGTTTGGGGGACATAAATGGTGAGTGGCTTATTATTATGACATGAATCACATTTCAAGGAATTGCACTGATTCAAGACACTAGCAAGAAAGAAGCTAAAAACTACTCCAGGTCTGGTTTTGATGATATAAAAAGATCATTTTTAACTTGTTGACAGTAACCCTTAAGGCTGCTGCTGGTACTGCTCTCTGTGGCTCTAGGCTGCCCCCTCATGGCTGCTGTTGGTACTGGCTCTCTGTGGCAGTGTAGAAGTCCTCTAGGACGCTCTGCAGATAGTCAAACGTGGGTCTGTCCTCGGGTTTGTTCTTCCAACACTCCATCATGATCTCGTAGAGCTCAGAGGGACAGCTGTCGAGACGCTGCATACGATAGCCTTTCTCCAGAGCGCGGATCACCTCTGGGTTTGTCATGCCTGAAGAGAAAAAGAGAATGTGAGACCACAGACAGCAGATCAGATCAGAAACCAGACCAGAGGCCTGATACTAGAGACCATACAGTAGACCAGAGACCATACTTGTAAATAGCTTGTACTTTTGTACACCCACACCTATGGTCATGAGCTTTGAGGAATGATCAAAGGACATTACAAGCTTCTTCTACAGAATAGCTGGGTGCTCTCTTGGAGAACTGGCAACCTCAGTAACATGGGAGAAGCTCAGAGAAGAGCTGCTGCGCCTCTATGTCAATAGGAACCAGTTGAGGTGGCTCAAGAATCTGTTTGGGATGCCTCTAGACGGCCCCCTATGGTCTCTCATGTGGCCTGGGAACACTTGGGGATGAACTGAAGATAGTGTGTGTTGAGAGGCAAGTCTTGGTGATTGGTGATTGAACAGTAATTTGTGCTTTAGTCATCATATTCCTCTGATGCCTGGAGAGAGGTCTCTAATAAATAGATGGATAACAATGTTACGTGCTGTGACTGTGGCTGTAAAGAAGAAGGAGGGAATATTATACCTGGATAAGGCGTGCGTCCAAAGCTGATGATCTCGGTCAGTAAAATACCGAAAGACCAGACGTCAGACTTGATGGTGAATGAGCCGTAGTTTATGGCCTCAGGAGCCGTCCACTTTATGGGAAATTTAGCTCCTGTGAAACAGAAATAAGCCAGATGTAAAAGAGAAATCCTGGTTCATATTTAGATCTGTGTATGCACCTGTTTGGACCTGTGGCTGTGTATGCATTTGATCTATTTTTAGACCTGGAAATCCTTACTTTTGTCCTGCTTTACACTTGTTTCTTTTTTAGACCTCTCTAGAGTTACACTCTTTAGTCCTGGGTAAGTTCTGTTCCAGACCTAGTTTCAGTGCTGTTTTGGACCCTTTAAAGTTCACTTTTAGACCTGCTGTATTCCAGTTCTGGTACCTTCTCTGGCGGTGTACTCGTTGTCCTCAATGATGCGTGCCAATCCAAAGTCAGCGATCTTACACACCAGAGCGTTGTTGACCAGGATGTTTGCGGTGCGCAGATCTCGGTGGATGTAATTCCTCTGCTCAATGTACGCCATGCCCTCTGCAATCTGACAAGCAACATGTGCATAATGCAGTGGAAACAGGAAGTTTACATGGGGAAAAAGTTCACAATACTTTTCATAACGACAGCGTAGCAAGCCGCAAAATAATCAGCAAAGATATCAGGAAAAGAATTGTGGATTTGCAAACGCTTTAGAGAAGAAGTATAATGCATTGTGTTTGGCCATTAAAAGTGATGTTTTAGAACAACAGGTATCAAGGGAGGACAATGCTATCAGCCTGCCCTATCCCCATGCTACCGCCCGAGGGAGGTGTAGAATGTTTTTGGTTTTTTTCTCAATTATGAATATGGTGAAGGGTTTGTGCCTGCAACTCTTACTGCTACAACCAGAAGTAGGAGTTGATGTTTCTGTTTTTCCCATTGTCTTCAAGTCAAAAGATTATATCTATGCTTGAAATAATACAGAAGCTGCCTATCCCACTGGTAAATTTGTCAACATGTAATCAAATTAGGATAAATGTCGTCTAATTCAAGCAAATATTGACTAACAATATTGACTAAACACTTATAAACCCCTATTTTGTTTGCAGTGTCGACTAAATTGGGCTATAGTTCGATAGTTGCCAATAAAACAATCTATTAGAATTTATTAACAAAAAGTTATGTAAAAATCCTTAATTTGAAAACACACAGGGGCGTGTGTTTGTAATTATTGCATTTTGTTTGAATGGATGCCGACTGTTGTGATTTAGGGCTATACAAAAATACACTGACTACAGTTCAGCCTTAAACATTTACGTACAGTATGTACATGTATTTTCGATGTATTGTTCAAATTATTTTTATTAGTTATACTGAGTTCATATATTTCTGTAATTTAACATTTCTGTAAAACCCACATATATTATAGACTCATTCCCTGCAAAGTGATTAATACTAAGCCTTTCCGGATAAAAATATTCACATTTTCTGGCATGTTTTACTTGGGGTTTTTACAAACTGAGCAAACAGTATAATCTTTTGATGCAGTGGATAATAAACAGCAGCAGTTTTACCTGAGCCGAGAAGTCGATGAGTTTGGGAAGCTGCACTCGGTTTCCCTCGTCGCTCTTCAGGAAATCTAGAAGACTCCCTGCACATAGAACATGCACAGACAGATCTTAGAGAAACTAATACGCTGCAGTATTTATTCATTCTAATAAACATGTTTAAAGAAATACATTAACTGCATTAAATCAGGCCATTGAATGATTTTTACTGGCTAACTCTTTATAACTGGGGCGACAGCAGCTCAGTTGGTAGAGCATTGGCCTTAGAGCCTGAAGGTCGTGGGTTCGATCCCACCGTGAGACCTACTTCACGACAAGACAAGACAAGACAAGACAAGACACTTAACCCCACTTTGCCTGAAGCCCCCACTGAAAGATCTCAGCTCCTGTGTACTCACCACCTGCAGGAGGATCAGTGAGGGGCTGGTGCTATGGGTGCAGCTCTAACTGCCACCCCCCAACCCAGAAATGGATTAAGGGGAAGAAAATGGATGGATGGAACTCTTTATAACTTAAAAAAGAAATGTATGCAGTAGGGGTGGGAACCTAAGGGTACCTCACGATACGATACGATAGACGATACAAAGCTCACGATATGAAGATTATCGATATATTGGTCATAAATATACAATATGCCAATTTATGGCATAAATAAAAGAAAAAATACACTTTATTTCAAGATAAATGGAATGGAGACGCGTAATGTAGTATTACACATCTCCGAAAATATTAAGTATTGATACCAATTCAAAATTGATATGATTACTTGGCCAATACATATCGATAATCGAATGCTGATGTAATTGTTTTTGTCATTTCATTAGTATATGAAACAACTATTTATACCTTCATATACTTACAATATATGAAACAAGTGAAACAAGTATGAAGGGTAAAAAAAAATTCTGCCAGTACTTCCTTATATCTAAGTTTTATGTTTTCTCAAATTTGAAAATTACCGACTGCAATCACAGCCCTGCGATAGTAAATAACATAATTTTTACATGCAAAAATGGCAAAACAAATTCCTGGGCAATACTTTTATTTTATAAGGCAGAAAACTGTGTTGAGTGTGATGTCATAGTGGAACAATGACATCATACTACTACAGGGCTGAGACAGGGACTTTTAGACAAAAGGCGCAGTTACATGTTTTTACCAGAAGTTGTTGATATTAGCATGGACGGGTCTAAAAACACGACTGATGAGGAACCATGTTGTGACCTGGTAACAGACCTTTCTCCATGTACTCCGTGATGATGTAGATGGGCTCCTCTATGGTCACCACGGCGTTGAGTCGCACCAGTTTGTCGTGCTGCAGACTCTTCATCAGGTTGGCCTCCATCATGAAAGCTTCCACAGACATGGTCCCCGGCTTCATGGTCTTCACCGCCACCTTGGTGTGCTTGTTGTACGTCGCTGTGAAGAGCGAGAAAGGACGAGAAAGAGAAAATATTGTTTGGGTTTGTTTGGGGCTTGATTTGGAATGATGAGATGATTTACGTGATTTATGTATATAGATGGACAGTGCTAACTTGAGGTGTGCTAATACATTTTCACTTTTATTAGATCGCTTATCTAACACTATGAGTATTTATATTTTAAGCAAATTTTAGTTTGAAGCTATTTTTTCCATCCAAGAATATTTTGTATTTTGACAAAAGTATTACATGACTGTATTAAACATAAGGATAACATTTTCGAGTCAATTTTTCGGAACAATATCAGTTACTTTGTGCTTGGAAACTGGAGCAAGCAACAAAGGCTTGATATTCTATTTCTATTTGCTTGTTTGGATCAGAATTTAAAATAAATTGGTGGTGGCGAGGTGCAGAGAGGACTAGGCAGCAGTCGAAGGCGGAGACCTCGACGACCCAGTCCACACACCCAACATCTGGCTCTTGGGACGTGGAACGTCACCTCACTGGGGGGGAAGGAGCCCGAGCTTGTGGGGGAGGTTGAGCGATACCGACTAGAGATAGTCGGCCTCACCTCCACACACAGCTTGGGCTCTGGAACCCAACTCCTTGAGAGGGGTTGGACGCTCCACTTTTCTGGTGTTTCCCGCGGGGAGAGGCGGCGAGCTGGGGTGGCCATACTCATTGCCCCCCATCTCAGCCGCCACGTGTTGGAGTTCTCCCCGGTGAATGAGAGTGTCGCGTCCCTCCGCCTCCGGGTGGGGGACAAGTCTCTCACTGTTGTGACGGCCTACGGGCCTAACGGTAGTGCAGAGTACCCGGCCTTCTTGGAGTCCTTGGGAGGGGTACTGGACAGTGCACCGCCCGGGGACTCCATTATTCTCCTGGGGGACTTCAACGCCCATGTGGGAAATGCCAGTGACACTTGGAGAGGGGTGATCGGGAAGAGCGGCCCCCCTGATCTGAACCCGAGCGGTGTTCAGTTGTTGGACTTCTGTGCCAGTCACGGCCTGTCCATCACGAACACCATGTTCGAGCACAAGGGTGTCCATCAGTGCACGTGGCACCAGGACACCCTAGGCCGGAGGTCGATGATCGACTTTGTAGTCGTATCATCTGACCTTCGACCGCGTGTCTCGGACACTCGGGTGAAGAGAGGGGCGGAGCTGTCAACCGATCATCACCTGGTCGTGAGTTGGATCCGCTGGCAGGGCAGGAGGCCGGTCAGACCTGGCAGGCCCAAGCGTGTAGTGAGGGTTTGCTGGGAACGTCTTGGTGAGCCCCCTGTCAGACGGACTTTCAACTCACACCTCCGGGAGAGCTTCTCCCAAGTCCCGGCAGAGGAGGGGGACATCGAGTCTGAGTGGACCATGTTCTCTGCCTCAATCGCCAATGCGGCGGCTCGTAGCTGTGGTCGCAAGGTCTCTGGTGCTGGTCCCGGCGGCAATCCCCGAACCCGGTGGTGGACACCGGCAGTAAGGGATGCCGTCAGGCTGAAGAAGGAGTCCTATCGAGCAATGATGGTTCGTGGGACTCCTGAGGCAGCTGTCCAGTACCGGCAGGCCAAACGTGCCGCGGCCCGGGCTGTTGCAGAGGCAAAAACCCGGGACTGGGAGGAGTTCGGAGAGTCCATGGAGCATGACTATCGGTCGGCCTCAAAGAGGTTCTGGCAAACCGTCCGGCGCCTCAGGAGGGGGAAGCAGTTCTTTGCCAACACCGTGTATGGTGCGGGTGGAGGACTGCTGACCTCGACTGGGGATATTGTCGGGCGGTGGAAGGAATACTTCGAGGTTCTCCTCAATCCCCCCGTCACGTCCCCCGTCCAGGAGGCAGAGGCTGAGGATGTTGGGGCGGATACTTCCATCTCCCTGGCCGAGGTCACCAAGGTGGTTGGCAGCCTCCATGGTGGCAGGGCGCCGGGAGTGGATGAGATCCGTCCTGACTATCTAAAGTCTCTGGATGTTGTAGGACTGTCTTGGCTGACACGTCTCTGCAACATCGCGTGGCGATCGGGGGCGGTGCCAATGGAGTGGCAGACCGGGGTGGTGGTCCCTCTCTACAAGAAGGGGGACCGGAGGGTGTGTTCCAATTATCGTGGGATCACACTCCTCAGCCTCCCCGGTAAGGTCTACTCCAAGGTACTGGAGAGGAGGCTACGTCCGATGGTCCCCCTTCTTGTAGAGAGGGACCACCACCCCGGTCTCTCTCTACAAGAAGGGGGACCGGAGGGTGTGTTCCAATTATCGTGGGATCACACTCCTCAGCCTCCCCGGTAAGGTCTACTCCAAGGTACTGGAGAGGAGGCTACGTCCGATGGTCGAATCTCGGATTCAGGAGGAGCAGTGTGGTTTTCGTCCCGGTCGCGGAACACTGGACCAGCTCTATACTCTCCATCGGATACTCGAGGGTTCATGGGAGTTCGCCCAACCTGTCCACATGTGCTTTGTGGATTTGGAGAAGGCGTTCGACCGTGTTCCCCGGGGTGTCCTTTGGGGGGTCCTCCGGGAGTACGGGGTCCGGGGTCCTCTGCTGAGGGCTGTTCGGTCCCTGTATGACCGGAGCCAGAGCTGTGTTCGCATTGCCGGCAGTAAGTCAGACCTGTTCCCGGTGCATGTTGGCCTCCGCCAAGGCTGCCCTTTGTCACCGGTTCTGTTCACTGTATTTATGGAGAGAATCTCTAGGCGCAGCCAGGGGCCGGAGGGGGTCCGGTTTGGGAACCACAGGATTTCATCTCTACTTTTTTCGGATGATGTCGTCCTGCTGGCTCCAACGAACCAGGACCTGCAACATGCACTGGGACGGTTTGCAGCCGAGTGTGAAGCGGCTGGGATGAGAATCAGCACCTCCAAATCCGAGGCCATGGTGCTCGACCGGAAAAAGGTGCCTTGCCCTCTCCAGGTGGGTGGAGAGGTCCTTCCTCAAGTGGAGGAGTTCAAGTATCTCGGGGTCTTGTTCACGAGTGAGGGGAGGATGGAGCGTGAGATTGACAGGCGGATCGGTGCAGCGTGCGCAGTGATGCGGTCTCTGTATCGGACCGTTGTGGTAAAGAGGGAGCTGAGCCGAAAGGCAAAGCTCTCAATTTACCGGTCAATCTTCGTTCCCTCCCTCACCTATGGTCATGAGCTGTGGGTAATGACCGAAAGAACGAGATCGCGGATACAAGCGGTCGAAATGAGCTTCCTCCGCAGAGTGGCTGGGCGCTCCCTTAGAGATAGGGTGAGGAGCTCGGTCACACGGGAGGAGCTCGGAGTAGAGCCGCTGCTTCTCCACGTCGAGAGGAACCAGTTGAGGTGGCTCGGGCATCTGTTCAGGATGCCTCCTGGACGCCTTCCTGGGGAGGTGTTCCGGGCACGTCCCACCGGGAGGAGGCCCCGGGGAAGACCCAGGACACGCTGGAGGGACTATGTCTCTCAGCTGGCCTGGGAACGCCTAGGGGTCCCCCCGGACGAGCTGGAGGAGGTGTGTGTGGATAGGGAAGTCTGGGCGTCTCTGCTTAGACTGCTGCCCCCGCGACCCGGCAACGGATAAAGCGGAAGAAAATGGATGGATGGATGGATGGATGATGCCGTGGTTTTGCTTTAAAAAAAAGAATAACATACCATGGTACCTCCTACCCTCAATGCTGCACGTGAATCATAATAACTGAAGAAACACACTTGTAAAGAACAATGTTTAACTGAAAAATACCAAAGAAAAAATAAAACTAATTTAGAGACAGTTCTATTGTTTTAAAATCCAGACCACAGCTCTGTCCACTGTAACTAGTTTGAAAAGATGAATTGAAAAGCAAAGTTTGGATAAAGTTTCAGTTATTCAGTCTCTGTTGTTTGAGATTTAACATTTAGAGTAAAGTAGAGTTGTGGAAAGGTGCTCCATGCCTTACCCATCCAGACCTCTCCAAACTGTCCCGCTCCCAGCCGCCTCTCCAGCTTCAGACTGGAGCGGGGGATCTCCCAGGCGTCCTTCTCCCAGGGCTTCTCTGGTTTGGGGCTGAGACAGGAGGTGGTGAGCGCCTGGCACAGACCGTCTCCCTGCTCTGGAACAAAAGCAGGAACCACAGCACACAGCTTTTTATTATGCGTTCATTCATTATTCAGACAGGTCCCAGACATCCACTTTGCTTGAATTTGTTATTGATTTTGATTTGAAGTGAGAAGTGACTCTAAGTTACTTGTCAAATTGTGGATAGAGAATTTTCAAACGCAAACAGCACTTAGACCTTCCCACGTTCCTCCCACTGCTTCCTGATTTGAAAGAATCAACTCAAATCCTTGATTGACAGGCGAGGCGCTCTGCACATTGTTTTTTTAATCCTTGAGCACAATGTTACCGGTGGTGTTTAGGCTAAGAAATATATTATTTGTACATACATAAAAACATACTAGTGGTCAAAATATAAATAAAATATTACCATAAATATTAGATTGTATTTGTCAAAACTGAAATAGACATGCTGTCTTCATATAATTAGAATACATGTAATCTTCTTCAGACTTGTAAGAAAGAGCCCTGTAAGTGACAATTTGGCTCTTTAGGAAAAGAGCTGATTGGATGAGTGAGGGTGGTACTCTCTTTTTTACTATTTCGTGTGAAACAACGGATCTGAAGATGTGACAGAGTCCAAAAATACATGCGTGTGACGACTCGTGATAGAACCAGACTGTTTTGAGAGTGAGGGACAACAGCAGTAACATGGATTTTATTAAATAGGTAAATATCTGTGGTTTGAAAGTTAGGTACCACAGCTTTAATTTAGGCTGCATGCATGTATCAGTTGCACAAGGATAATTATATTTGATTTTTCTTTAAAGTTCTTACACTTTTACAGAAAAATTACCATCTGACCATTTAAAAATAGGCTACAAAAATATAGACATATTGATAATAATTGTTAAAAAAAAACTCTTTGTGACTCACTTTTATAATGCGTGACCAGCTCTTGCAGCGAGCTGAAGGTGATTCTGGGGGAGATGTAGAAACCTCCGTTGTCCAGAGTTCGGATCTTGTAATGTTTGACAGTGTCTCCGGCCTTCGAGTCCGAGTCCCTCACAGACAGGGAGTAACTTCCTGCAACGTACATACACACCAGCAGGGGGCGGTCAGACAGATGGCAGGATACACAAAGCTAGAAGGAGTGAATGTGTTTATGTATTTGGGTTCAAATGTGCATTTGAGTGGTAGTAGACCGAGAGGTAGGCCAATGTATGGATGGAATGAAGAGAGCGTTGTGTGATGTGGAGGAAGCGAAAGTTTGTGCGCAAGATAGGGAAGTGAACTCATGAACTGACGTGTCCCTGGAGGATGCACAGCCAGCATGAGACGAGGAGGGTTAACCATTTTTTACTGTAGGGGCCCCAGGCTGAAAGCCAACGGATAAGTCAGGGCCATGAACCTGCCGTATAGCACTGGGCAGCAGTACTGCTGAGGGGTCCAGAAGTGAATGTGGATGAATGAGTGTGTAATCAGAACTTCTTCCTGTAGGACATGGTTTATGGCAATAGATGGATCAATGGCTCACAGTGGAAATTATTCTAATTTCCTCCATTTGTTTATTTTGAGGTTTTTTGCAGTCTGGGAGGAAATTATAATCATGATACTTGATATATCTAACTTTGCTGGAAATAGATAAATAAATAGATTTTGGAGTTTCACTTCCCCATGTGAAACTCCACCATTCTCAAACACAATGAAAGTTGGTCTGCACAATTTCACAAGACTGGAGCTTGGAGTACAGCCACTGCTCCTCCACCTCGAGCTGTCTCAGGTCTCTGCTTCACTCTAGTCCAGACCTGGTAAGATAAGTGCAGCTTGCTGTTTGCCTGCTTAAATGAATGGGTGCCAATACCCATTAGAGGTTTGTAACTTAATAGAAGGTTTTACCTCCTTTTAAAAAAAAATGTGCACCCAAAACAAAAACAAAAAACGACTACATAAATTATTCTGTTCTACAAATGAACCCAAAACATTATTTATAATCATTTGTAATGTGTAAATCAGTCTACGATACTCATTTTGTAGTCTATTTACCTTTGTTTTTCAGTTTCAGTCATCCAAGAAAAAACAAATGATACTGAAAACCATATTTAAAACCAAAATGATTCTTAAATAATAAGAAAAAACCTTATTGCTAAAAGATTAAAACAATACAATAGCCACATATGCTAAAGATCTCTAAAGTCTAAACTGAAAAAAAGAAAACACCGCATTGCCTCATGTTCCCGCTCCTTCTCTTCAAAAATATTTGTGTTAAATAAATAAGCTCATTTTATAACTTAAAGTAATTGCACACCCTGTTTTAGTCTCTCTCTGACAAATCATGAGAAAAAAAAATAACCCGGTCTTTAATTTTCTCTAAGGATTTCTGTTTGAAATGTTGTATTCTGTAGTTCTATCTCACCCTGTGTGGTCTCACTGTCTCGCACCATGAAGGAGCCCACTCGGTTCCCAGGGGCCAACAGCTGCCGCTCGGCATCCTTCCTGCTCACGCCTTTGAAGAACCAACTGTGAAATACATAAAGTCGATTCAGTTCGATTGGAAGAAAGTTTGAACTTATATTCAAACAAACTTAAACACTGGCCCCAGACCTTGGAACAAGCACAGACTGTACAAAAGATGGACATAATGACCGGCTAACTCAACAGAGTCCACAAAAGAAGAGCTCATGGACAAAGTTTCGCTCAGGCTCCAATTGACTTACAGTGAAAGTAAACTTCCCTAAAACTTATCTTGTTATTATCCTACATAAGAGACGACACTCTTGTTTGATGTATCCTGAGCGCTTTTCAATAACATTTAATGTGCGCAACGATGACACTGAGATTTGGCCGCTGAGGAACAAATGGAAGTTATTTTATATTATCTTATCTTTCATCAGAATCTTGACGAAGGTCTTCATGTCCGCTGTTTGCAGATTGTTTTGTTTGGGTCAGAGCTTGGTCCAGATGCCCACCCTCACCTGTGGTCGTGAGCTTTAGGGAATGACCCAAAGGACAAGATGAAGGATACAAGCGAAATGAGGATGGACCAGTAGTAGAGAGACACACCGATCATACAAGATAGATAAGATAAGATTAGATAAGATAAAATAAGATAAACCGTTATTCGTCCCCCAGTGGAAAAATGTCAATGTCATGATTGCGCATATTACAGCAGATATAAGGAGAAAAGAAGATCACTCAGATCGCACACATCAAACAAGATCTATTATTTCAACCTTTATAGGAGGATTTTCTACTTCCGGGTGTTCCCAGATGTCTATTCTATCTAATATGTATGGGGATTAGCTTTAGAGCATATTTTATGAGGCAGCAGGTGGCACCAGCGCTGCCGCTGGATGTTTGGAAAACAGGACGCACTTGTTGCGTCTCTTTTTCTCAGCTTTTTGTATGAGACTGGTGATTTCAGGAAAACTTCCCGCTACTCGACTGGGGATCACAGGGGAACGAATTCAGAATCTGGTTTTGGATTTCAGATAGTCAAAGAACAAAATATCCTGTGGGTCTTGAAATATCAATAAAAATCATCAGAAACGGCTGGCAATATGGGAGTCCCTGTTCTGAAATGGGCTGGCACGCAATGAGTTTTAATAAAGGCCCTAGAGTTTCAATTTTGTAGCAAATGCAGTTGGTGGTGTGCCATATGATTTTTTGCAATGACAAAGGTGTGCCACGGCTCAAAAAGGTTGGGAACACCGCCTTAGAAAATAGATAATGAGAAAACAAAATAAAAGTCTGGAGCTATAATTGCACTTGGTTCAAGGATAAGTCACTTCTGGAACAGACACTGTAGTTAGGAGCAGTCTGGAGGTATTTACAGATGGTTGGTGTTGTACTTTAGCAGCACATCCCAGCCTTTGACATGTTTGAGATTACGTGGAAAGGGAAATGACGGACAGCAGAGGGCCCTTACTCTTCGGTCTCCAGGGTGTCCTTTCCCACGTAGTTACTGGGGATGAAGCCTTCTAGTCCTGAGCTCACGGACTTGGCCTTCCACCATTCTCCTGATCTGTGAACAATCAAAATGTTCTTTTCAAAACCTGTAACAAAATTTATCTGAACAAAAAATACAATCAGAATAACCAGAATTCAAACCATTTTGAAAAAGGGCTGAAGATATCACTAATAGCATTAACAGACCCCCTCCTTCAAACCACAAAAATGTCAAAATAACAAAAACAATACACACAAATCGTCACACAATACAGTATCATATGTTGATACACACGTGCACTCACACTCATACACAAACCACCCACACAGACAAGCACGCACACATACACACATACACTCATATACACACACATACTCATAAACATGCACACACAGACGCTCACACTCATACAGTATACACCCACACAATTATACACACACACACACACACACTCATATACACACACACAAGTATACTCACAAACACACACATACTTCTTTTTGATACAGTTTTTTAAATGCGATCCGGTCCAAACATGTTTATGACAGAACCTGGTCTTTCCTAAAGCATTGGAATAGTTTGTCCGGGGACTTACTCTTCTAAGATGATGAGTCTGTCTCCCTTCTTGAAGCCCAGGTCTCCGTCGTGAATGGCCTCGTAGTCGTAGAGCGCGATGGCCGCTCTTTCACCTGGAACACAGACACAACCAAATCTATTTGACCTGTTTGGTGGGAAAGGATTTTTCTTTATAATCAGTCATGTGAACATTCATAAAGTAATGGAACTTAGGGTCGCTAGAGGAAGACGACACTCCCTCTGCCCTCACACCGTTACAGACATCAATAACTACATTTCTACACTTTTATGGCAATATACAGTACAGCCCGAAAATTTGGACACACTTTCTGATTGAATGATTTTCCCTTTTTTTCATGACTATTGACTAGATTCACACCCAGGCTGTGTAGGGGCTATTTGACCAATAATGAGAGTGATGGTGCTGGGCCAGATGACCTGGCCTCCACAGTCACAGGACCTGAACCCAATCCAGATGCTTTTGGGGTGAGCTGGACCACAGAGTGTAGGCGAAAGGGGCCAACAAGTGCTAAGCATCTCTGGGAACTCCTTTAAGACTGTTGAAGACCATTTCAGGTCCTCTTGAGTTCATCAAGAGAATGCCAAGAGTGTATGGAGCAGTAATCAGAGCAAAAGGGGGCTACATTCAAGACATACAGTATTTTCATTTGTTTCATACTTTTTTTTTTAGGTACATACATAATTCTACATGAGTTCATTTATAGTTTTGATGCCTTCAGTGTGAATCTACAATTTTTATAGTCATAGTCATGGTAAAAAAAAACTTTTTGAATGAGAAGGTGTGTCCAAACTTTTGGTCTGGACTCTACATATCATATTACCATATATTCTTCTAATTCTCAGAGTTTCACCTGTATATTGAAAAGTAAAGTTTTCTCTGTAATTTTTTCTGTTTTTGTAAATCCAGATATGAGCCTAAACAACTGACCAACCAGCCTTCTGTTGCTGAGTTCATCTTTAACCAGCAAATGACACAAACACACAAAACCACACAAACAGCGCGTAAAAAACAATGGCGCTTCTGATTGGTGCTTGGTGACTCGGCCGCTGCCACCACAACATTTGCATAAATTAGGCAAACACTATGGGTGACACCTTTACTCAGTTAGTCCTTTTCTAACAGAGGATATGGCTGTTATATTTCAGCCACTTGGATACGCCTCCTCAACTACAGTATCTATCTATCTATCTATCTCCTTGTCTATTAGTCTGTCTGTCCGTATTGAAGCATTGAATGGAGGATAATACAATATTTCTCAAAGTTGCAATGGGAATAAATTCTTTGGTGATAGAATGACAAGGGAACATCATTCTCACAAGCACAGAAGTTCTGAAAACACCACCTAATATTATGGTGTGCGTCTGTGTGTGTGTCTGTCTATTGGCAAGATTGTTGAAAAACGACTGGGCACATCAAGTGTAGATGGGTTTGTGGTGTTGGCGGAGTATGTGCTCTCCGAGTGCACTTTCTGTGTGTCAGTCCTTAACAGACACAGATAAGGTTTCTCCGCAGCAGCTGAACTGTGGCGTTAGTTCCTCATACTTTGACTATTCCACGACTTCCTGCTTTGATAAAAATAGTTCAGTTCCTCATTGAGTACAGAGAAAATAAGCTCACTTTCCAAATGCATAACTGTGGTCAAAAGGAACTATTTATTATTAGAGCCTGGGATGAAAGCCTTCAAACCCACAGTGACAACTATTGTGAAGAATATAGACATATATTTTGGCGGATATTCACAAAGATGTGTGTGTGCATGTGGGTGCGTATGGGTGCGGCGATTATCTTAGCAATTTTGATGCTTCCACCCATCACCCACTTTGCCACTATTTCCCTTTTTGTGTATCAGTTTGCATGTCTTTAAAGTGGTGCATTAAAAAGGAATCTATAGGAGCATGTATACTTGGGGCAGGGGTACTCTATCCCTAGCTGTTTTCTGGTATGTGTTATATATGTATTTTTTTCCCCCCTATGCTTGAGTTGTAGTGCATTAAAAACACAAAAGAGGGTGGTGGAAGGATTAGGGCGAGCTACGACTTTGGGCAAGACACTTAACCCCACCTTGCCTGAACCCCGGGTGAAAGACCAAGGCTGTGTCCTCACAAACCGAGCAGCCATCCTCTGAGGACCCACCCCCTGCAGGAGGATCAAGGGCCGGTGCTATGTGAATTGGGTTTGGGTTTAGAATGCGACCCCTGACCCAGTACCAATAAAGGGGATGGGTTAGAAATGCAACGATACAAACACATAGAGCCATTGGTCCATAAGGGGCACATGGCCAATGTCCATAAATGTTGATAAATGTAGATGTAGAGGAGTGAATGAATGTGACAAATTGTAGAGCTTGAAAAGATACACAATATTGTTTTGTATTTTGTAACTCATTATATTCTTAAACAGAGAATTATGACATCAGCAACGTTAACTGCAATGTATATGTTTGTTTCCTCAAATACTTGTTGACTGTGAGAAAACAAAGCATAAATGCACTAACATTATACTTGCATGTAACGTTTTATTGTAACTATATTCACTTTTCTAATGCCAAGAGTAAGATAGTATTACTGTAATACTAAAAACACGACTTTGTGATAAAAGTTCTCACCTTCAGAGGAGCTCAGATTGTTGGACGTCTTGTTCTACAGAGACAAACACAGGGTCAGTGACATCATGGGCTGAAGGACACGTTGTAATCATGGACTGTATATAGATGGACAATACTAAGCTCAATGAAGTCCAATAGGGAAGTGCCCACGGACAACGTTTTTCTCCAACTCACCATTCCTCCTACTACTACTACTACTTCTATTGACGTAGATGTAAAAGTAAACTCCTCTAGCTCAATAACTGTTTGTGTCACACTCACCATTTGATTCTTGTATACCCCTTAATCACAACAGTAGTTGCCAACACAGAACAGTTTAAAGACAAATAACATAGAACACATACTGGTCCATATAGGGAGAGATCAATGTCCATGAATGTTGTCAAATGTTAGTGTGCTGGATCTTGTGTTAGACACTAAAAGTCTGACAGACCTTCCTGCATCGGAAAGGAAAAACTCTAGAACCCAGTGGGATAACCACATTGAGAGATGGATCCAGGCCATAGATCCAGGACTTAAGCTACAGAACGAAGACCAAGGCCACGCGGTACAGTACTCATTTTCAAAATCGTGGTTTAGCATTCTATTGACCAATTAGATGCCTTAATTCACAGGGTAAACTCCAGTTTGCTTTGGCAACCATGTCAGCAACAAGTCCGCCCCTCTTTCGGCGCAGAGCTAACAATTTCAGACCTAATGCCCATAAAAAGAAATTAGCCCCAGCTATTTTATGTTCAAAAAGTTTTTTTGCACTTTCAGCAAACACTATGGTAACGTCAGCACTCTGTCAGTTCATTCCTAAAATACAACCTATGCTTTTAATGTTACAACATTATTTCAGTAATATTTATATGTCACTATAGATTGAATTACATCCTCTATTTTGTTCACTCTCCTTAAAGCTGCTTTATGTACATTTTTGATGAAGGGGTCCACCACCAAATGATGACAGGTCCAGAAAGGCCCCTCTGACTGGTGTTTGCATCTGTTTTCCTTCAGGTGCTCCGGTGGATGCGTGAAATGCAAGTGGAACAATCTTTAGGCCCTGTTTAGATGGAGATGATGCAGAGACACTGAAAAGCAATTAGCAAAAACGACCAGGCTCCTTATTCAAATTGCACAGCGTCTACATGACGGCGGAAAGCAATGTAGTTCTTATCCTCGGCCAGTAGAGGGCAGTGGAATTTACAACACGACACACGCAACCCCCACCAGTATAATCACTTCCTCAACAACATCCACCTCAGGCCACCGCAAAGATCAACATCATTCTGCATTTAACAGCAGCAGCGAAAACGGAAACTGAAACTACAGCTTTGTGTGGTTTCATTTGGACGAAGGAGTAGAATTCTCTTCTGCGTAACTCTAAAAGCATATGTAGCATTAGGTGATCCGCCGCCATTGTTGTTTACGTTTGTTCTCGGCTACTGCGCATGTCCAAGTATACGTGCAGGAAGTTCCACTCTAGAGGCAGTTTCTCGACGCTTGGGTTTTCACCTAAAACACCGTCTTCATGTAAACAAAAGGCCAATCCGATACCAACTCTAACGTTTTACTGTCGCAGCGTCCTCGTGGAAATGATTGTCAGTACAATAACCCTTTTGTGTATTATTTAAAAATAACATGTTAATGTAACTAATTGACAAAAAGGTCCTGTATTTATTTATTTGGATGGAACAGTATGTGTCAGTGGACAACAGGTAATACACTAGATTGGACATTGGTCTAATTTCCATCTGTTGTCCCAGTCACAAACACATCCTCCTTCTCTCTGAGTTTGTGTTGTACATGTTTTTAGTGGTAGCGGAAACCTGCTCAGGCACGGGGAGAACATGCAAACTACACTGTCTGTAAGTGGAGTGACCATACTACTGTAGTACGATCCAAGTTATACACAGAATTGATAGAAATTGAAACTTTTTTTTAAACTATATTTTTATTGCGTTTTTCAACATAATTCCTACATTCACACAGACATATGGAATAAAAAAGAAAAAAACGACAAAAAAGAAAAAACTAAAAAGCGCAGTGCAGGTAACTTGACCATGAGGCGGTACAGACTGTACATCTGTAGGTGGCGCTGTTTCCATCTCTTATATGAATAAATATATAGTTAAAACTGCTGACTTTGTACAACAGACATCGTTATACTCCACTACACCAATGTAATATACCAATGTTATACGTCATTTCAAGTCATCAAAGTTATTTAAAGATTCATTTGAAAAAAACAGAAGCCTAATACTGTACAAAGGTGAACAAGAGCAGACCACCCTCACTCAGCCAATCAGCTCTCAGCCCAAAGCATCCAATTGAGCAAATGATAAAGTGTTTTCTAACAAGATGAAGAGAGCATTTGTGATCTGATTTGTTCACATTTGACTTTTTTGTAGGAACACATCAAATATATTATTTATGAAACATACAAGTTAAGTGGAGCAGCTTTAACAGCCCTATAACATAAATTAACTAGTTTAGCTCTAATACATGGGAGGAATGGGAACAGTCATTTCATTTGGATAACATTCATATGTGTATTTGTAATATGTGTTTTTTAAACTCCCCACAGTCTGAACAGACACATGTTCAGAGGAAGGAAACGGCCGATCACACATCTTCAGCCTCACCACGCTGAGGTCGCCGGAGCCACTTTAACACGGGGAGCCATATGGAGCTCTCACAGTATCCTCATTTAGATTTTTTAAATTGTGAAAATATAGTAAGTAAGTAATATTTATTTATATAGCGCATTTTTGCAGACCAACGTTACCCACAGTTCTTTACAATGTTCAGATCTGTTCCGACGGGGATTCAAACCCATTACAGGACCTTCCTGCTGAGAAGTGAGAGTGCTATCAACTCAGCCACCATGGAATTTTGTAATTAAGAATAAAAAAATATAAAACTGTATGTGTGATTTAGTACTTGTGAATACGATTTTTTTTTTGTGCTTATATTTTCTTCTTTGAGAATACGAATTTCAGCAGTGAGCAAACTGTCAATAATACGTCACTGCTCACAGACATTAACAATCGAGCCTTTTATTCTTAATTACAAAATTCCATGTCTTTTTAGTTTGTATTATCTTAATCATGAATTAATAAAATATTTTTATGCACAAATACCAATAAATATGTAATTTTTTTTTTTAGAAATGCACGTCTTTATTGACAGTAACCTTACGTCATAGACAACAGTGCGGAAATTAACGTGTGTGTGTGTGTGTGAATGTGTGTGTGAGTGTGTATGGATGCGAGTTTGATGCACCCGTCCTCCTCATTGCCCATATTTTCCTTACTTTTTGTGAACCAATTTGAATGTGACAGTCAAATGTAGCCATTTTTGGTCGTTTGGCAACGACAATTCTATGGCTCCTTTTCTCAAGGTCCTGTTTCTGGACTGGTCCTGGGCTGGTGCTGGTTCTGGTTCTGGTTGTTTTTTCACCAGAGGAAAGCAAGTGCTAGTTACCATAGCAACCCTAACCCTAACACTACTTAAAGGTGCAGTAAGCAATTTTGTTAGCTTAGCCGTAGCACCAACTGGAAACCACTCCCCCTCCCCTCCCCTCACCTCTCCACCAAACCAAACATCCAGCATTTTCTTTTCTTTGTCACAACAGGGAGAGTGGGTGGCAAACGTGAAATTGGCATTTTCTGTTAAGCCCTTTAAGGTTTTCAAGAATGCAATGACTCCGGTGTGCGCACTCGCGAGAAACAGGAAGAGGGTGAAAGGGGTAAAAGCATCCCATTGGTTTATTTTTATCGGTTTTTAATATTTTTTGGAGACTATAGGCATCTGGTCAATTCTATTACTATTTGAAAGCACATGATAACTTGACTACTTTTAGGATTTAGGGACGTTTTCCCACATTATTTTAAAAAATGCGTCTGAAAAAAAAATCTGACTGCATCTTTAAGCCTTTGGTAGCCTTTCAAAACAGTTCTGAATTTCAAGTTACATTCACCAGTTTTAGCATGTATTAAAGGTAAAAACGATATAGATTGCTTAATTTTAATAAAAGCAGTAAAGCAAGAATTCCATTGATTAGAATTGGAGCCGTCAATATGACTGCTCCGAGGTATGCTCACATACCAGGTTGTTGCCGGTGGTGGGGTCTCTGACATAGTGTGCGTTCACACTGCGGTTCTGCTCGTCTTTCACGGCTTCTTTACTGAAACTCTGCTCCGCTGTCTTTGAGCCCACGCAGCCCATGGTCACAGCTGAAACACACACAGGAGATATTTACAAACTTTATGAGGGTTAGGGTCAGGGTTAGTCTGTTTGGAAGAGCAGACAATGTAAACTGGGGAAACATAAGAAATATTTTGATTATTTACATAGGGAAACAAAATATCAAACAAAACAAAATACAAATGAAAGCCACAAAGGATAAATTAAATCAGGAGTATATTTAACACACACACCCACATACACACACAATTTGATTCAATTCCATGTATCAGTGCATAGCTCAAAATCACAACAGTAGTCGTTTCGAATCGAAGTTGTCGATTCACCAACAACAGATCAGAGAATCAAAACAAGGAAATGCAATCATAAATAATAACAAACACAGCCATTGGTCGATAGGGAGCGGCGTGACCACTGTCCATAAGTGTTAAAAAAAGCACAATGGCTGTAATTAACAATTATCTTGATAAATGATTAGTGGCTGATTATTCTTTTGATTAATTACTGTAGTGTTTAGAACACGAAACTCAATGAATATGGGATTTTTTAAATTATATTTGACCAAAGCAAAGTGTTGCTCTGGAGAACCCTGATTCTTGTGTGAATCATTGATTAATAACTTGTTACAGCCCTAATCATAACTACATGTTTTATTACCAATGTCCGTATGGTCATAATTGCATGATATCCAATACACCAAAAACCAATACGTTTTGAAGCATCAATTCAACATCATATTACATTCATTGTCATTGTCATTGTAACATAACATTTAAGTGATTTTGACCATGTTTAAGTAGAATATGTAGTAGTTAATGTTCATTGAAATACTAAAGATACAACATATTCTTCTGTCCAGTCAGAAGTGACAGGACACTTTTGCAACATGAGAATAATGTAACTTCCTGTCTGAGTTTTTCCACTGTTCACAACTGTACCACCGCTTTTACTTCAGCTGCCTGTCTGTGTGTGTGTGTGTGTGCGTGTGTATGTGTGAGTGAGTCTGTGCGTGTGTGTGTGTGTGTGTGTGCACTAATGCAAAAACACATCATCAGTAGGGTAAATGTATTTGTGTAAGTGAGTGTGAGTGTGAGTGTGTGTGTGTCTGTGTGTGTGTGTGTCTGTGTGTCTCTGCATGTTAGCAGGAGTAGTGCAGTGCCTGTGTGGTATTGTACAATAGAATAAGTCCTCTTTGTAACATGTTATTAAATGTAAAGCTTTTAAATGTTTCTATGAGTGTGTGACAAGAGACGACCCAAGGTTCAACTTTATGGTCCCCTCAGAGACATTTGTCTAATAAGGCTCACGGTGCTGTTGGACACAAACATACAAGACACTCTCAACATCAGGACAATCAGCTCGTCTGCACAATTTCAACACAAGAATCTGCCATAGTATTGCACAGTCCCATCAGTGCAAGGCTACGGAATAATGCACTAGCAAAAGACCACAGATAAAACAGTATTCACACAATAAGCAAGGAAGCACATACAAGTGCTAGTGTGGTACAGATTAAGAAGTGCATCGCCCTTGCCAAAACCAAGTTGAAAGCACTAAAACCCAAACTGTCGTCTCTCATCAAACTTATTTATGGAATGGAACTGCACCTGTCCCTCCAAGCCATCAGAAATGGATTAAAGGGTAGAAGATGGATGGATGGATGAACCTGCACCTGTTGGCAGAGGTCTGTGCTCCACGAGAGCTTTTTAAAGTTCATATCTTTCACATTCATCTGATTTACAATTTTGAGGCAGTCAAAACACACGTGTTATTGTAGTTCGTTGTATACAATACACCCACAAGTTACATTAGCTATTCCTTACATCACACAATATTTCAGATACTGGGTGGATTTATGACACATTTAAAGCTGGGGAACCTAACTTGCTCAAAAAAAAAAAATCTAATTAAAAAAATGTTAAAAAATCCTGGTTTTCTTTCTCTAGTTTTCACATGCATGTATTTTTGGCCTCTGTCACATCTTTAGATCAGCTGTTTCAGTCAGCCAATCAGATCTCAGCCCAAAGCGTCAGTTATTGACTTACAGGGCACTTTCTTTGTATAATTTGTTTCCTCCATCCATCCATCCATCCATTTTCTACCCTTTAATCCATTTCTGGGTCAGGGGGGTGGCAGTCAGAGATGCCACCCAAGTCTCATAGCACCAGCCCCTCACTGACCCTCTGCAGGTGGTGAGTCCACAGGAGGACAGCTGCTCTCTGAGTGTGAGCATAGCCTTGATCTTTCAGTGGGGGCTTTGGGCAAAGTGGGGTTAAGTGTCTTGCCCAAGGACACAACGACAGCAGTCATCAGTGGGAGTCGGTGGAGAAGGTGGGAATTGAACCCACAACCTTCTGGCCTTAAGGCCAATGCTCTACCAACTGAGCTACTGTCGCCCCCCAATTTGTTTCCTAATCAGATTAAATCAGCAGATAATGGTGTTAACAAAATATGACTGTAGACTCTTTGTGAACATATCAAAGAACATGTATGTCATTTTTTCCAAATAAAATCTCCTATAATCTCTTAACTCTAAAACCATAACTATCTCCAAAGTTGTGTTTTGTGCCTGCACAAATGATTGCATCAATGGATAGATCTTTTTGCGATGTGTCTGAAGGCGTTTTCATCAAACTGATATATTCTACACACTCCAACATGTGCTAATGGTCACAGGAGATTATGGTAAAAAGGGGATTTTTCATTTGAAATTATAATCTTCGGGATTTTGGTCTGATGTCAAGTCTCACACTGAGCAGAGGTCTTTTTTAGGCCATACACACACACACACACGCAGACACACACACACACACACACACACACACACACACACACACACACACACACACACACACACACACACACACACACAGAAAGATGGACAAACCCAAGGGGACATTATAACAATAATGATAGTAATTTTTTTTTTATAGTTTTTTTTTTTTTTGATTTCCCAATAGTCTTTCAGCATAATCCGAGTGTGTAGTACATTGTAGTACACAGTTTTTCCTCTTCAGCCCATGCACCTCTGAATGTTCTTAAAGAGCTATGGTCCAGATAGTGTCCTGCCTGGGTGGATTTATCATTTCTTTTTGGTTTGATTTTCCTGTAAACTCTGTGTAATCTGTAATCCCACTCACACACATTTCCTTATGATGTAACCGCCCCATGCTCACAGAATCATTAATCCTCAGTCTGGACTCAGCTTCAGGGTAAAACCCATGCTCAATATCAAAGACAGACCCTAGCTGGGTTTTCCCCGCTGAAGAAGACACCCCCACATCAGGACAATTGAGGAGGGCGGCCATGTTCCAGACCGACTGTGACAAAAACATTTGAATCCATTCAATTAACAAAAGATTTCATAGTTTTAATTGGTCTTAATGTTGTGATCTTACCGTGTGAAATGAGATCAAGCCATTCTGTGAAATTTCACCTAATCGGCCGATCAATTGGAGCCCCGAGACTTTGTTGATCCAAGCATCAACAAAACATATTTAACCCTCTAGGCGCCACGGTTGACTTAAGTTGACAATATATGGTACTGTTTAAAATGACCGATTGTGTAAAGCAGGGAGTCAAAATTAATTCAAACTCCAACCACACAATGATTTGCCCTCTTTTACTATTTCCCCAACCCTTGAGTATATGTCCTAGAGATCTGTGTCTGTCAGTAAAAAAAATAAATAAATATATTTATATATATTTCATGAAAATCCACGATTGCCATGCCCTAATAAAGTCATAATATGCTATGTGGGTACATTTAAGTCCTAAATAAACTTTGGGTCCTCCTTATAGTTTCTCTAATTTACATAAAGCTTCTATCTCTTTTCACTTTGAAGTTATTAAGAAATTAAGATGTCAGAATCGAGCGTCTGAGGAAAAAACCTCTGGCGCCTAAAGGGTTTAGATTGTACCTCGTGATGTACAAAAAGTTATTGTTTAAACTTTTTTAAGAGCCTCAGTACATGACCTGACTGTAAAGTGCCACACTGTTGTTGTGTCTTGAGGCAAGACACTTCACCCACATTGGTATGAGTCTGGTGAGTGAGAGTGATGGTGGTGGTCGGAGGGTCCGGGGACACAGATCTGTCAGTGTGACCCAGGGCAGGTGTGGCTTAAGCAGTAGTTTATCACCATCGTTTATGGAGTGAATGAATAATGCCAAGTGCAGCGTCTTTGGGTTTCCAGAAAACTCCTTTTAAAACAGATGCATCACTGCAAAAAGTGCTAAAGCATGAGATAAGAAATGATTTTCATCCTAATTTGAGTACATTCTGACTGTCTTAAAACAAGATTTGCCGATGGGACAAAGCCACTTAGTCTAAAACTTCATTTGTTTATTCTTCGGCCATCAGCAGACAATAAGAAAACATTTGACATTCACAGATTGTAAATTATTTACAGACCGAAAGGTTTAGGCTGAAGTTTAACAAGAACTGTCGCATTTCTTTTCTCATTCCAAGAGACAAAAGTCTTCTATCTTTTTAAAACAAGGTCATTTTGCTTGTCCAATTGGAAAATCTTCTTTTAAGCCATTCAAAAGGTGCTCAAATAAAGCTAAATTTGGCCAAATTGGAGGCATTTTTACTTATTATCTGTTACTTTTTGCAGTGTTATTGTTAATAATCATCATCATTATTATGATATTTCAATACAGCGACCACATCACTGCAGTGTCTTTCTATCTCCTGCTCCATCCTTCTCTTATATTAATTAGGGCTGGGCAATAAAACGAATTTCAGCAAATAATCGGCTTTTGAAAAAAAATAATTTGTGAAAAATGTAAAAATTGTGAAATCGAATGAAGGATATTGTGAGAGTTCCAGCAGCACATGAATAATACTTGCAATATCAGCACAGTCTGTACAAGACTTTTATAATATGTATTGGGGGAAACAAATTAAAAATAATTTAGAAACTTGAATATTGAGCGGAAATCGAAATCGTCCAAAGCAGGAAATACATTTGAAATTTTACTTTTTGGTCACATCGCCCAGCCCTAATATTAATATCTATATCTATTTTTCTTAGGCTCCAAACTTTATTTGATTAGGAATAGGGATCGTGTAAGTGGTTTAGAGTTTGGGGTCTAAATCCCACAGACCTCTGCAAAATCGGAATGCTCTGACACAGGGTTGAATTGAGACGACTGCTGTAGATATCTAGAGTTATACAAGAATAAAATGTATTGTATTGTATTTGAACAGGACAGAACCGAACATTGTCCACATTCAGCGATACACAATGTAAATGAAAGTGCTCTGAAGCGGTTTGGAAGTGTCTCGTGAGTGTGTCCTCTCTGTGATGTCACATGTTCTGTGCTGTGTGGGGGGTTTCCTGTCTGAGGAAACATCTTCATTGTGTCATTTTCAACTTCACCATCTGAAACAAACCTCAGTGAGTCAGACATTTGCATCATGACACAAGCACAAGCATCACCCAGAGGCTCGGGTTTAAAGCTGAGTTTAAAGCGGACTTTCAAACCATAAATAACCAGAAACATGTAATTAAAGCAACTGGTTTCCTTGCTCTCAAAACAGTTTGCTTCTATCAATAGTTTCGCCTAAATGTATTTCTGGCTTGTGTCACATCTTTAGACCAGCAAGACAGGGAAGTGAAACAGAAAGTTCACTCAGCCAATCAGCTCTTCAAGTCTTCAACAGCCTTCCTGAAAATGTGAGACAGGCTTCTACTCTGACAATGTTCCAATCAAAACAGTTTTGATCGCTTTACATCAAAGCTACTGAAGGACTGTATCTTCTTTTAACTCCAGCATTCCCAAAATTCTGAAACTCCTAGAACTTCATTTTAGTTTGTTAGTTTTTACACAGAAATAAACTAAATATCGACACAGAAAAAGATACAAGAAAAGTAATTACTCGTCCCGCTGTGTTTTTGTACTGTGATTTTTTAGAATTTCACTGTTTCTTTTCTTGTTTGTTCAGCACTTTGAGTTCCCTTGCGCATGAACTGTGCTATACAGATAAACTTGCCTTGCCAAAGTTGCCTTCCCTACACTAAAATTAACTTGGGATGCCAGTAATAGAACTGAGTGTGGGCATCAAGAAATCGAAAGGCCTCCAAAAGTACTTCTTTGAAAAGCCAGATCTATTTTAGAGCCATACATATAAGGCTTCAACCCTTTTTGAGCAAATTCTTTCAAAATGACAGTCCAAAAAACAAATATGTTGAAGATTGTAACTTGAGGAATACAACTGTTTGACAATTTTTTTTTTGCAAATGAGCTGTTGACATGTTACTGGCTTCTGAAACTTGTGCAAACACTGTCACTTATGCAAAGAGAGGAAGAACACACTGCAGAATAATTCAAATTAAAAAAAATGAATGAAGCACGATGCTGAGTCCAATGAGCCTTCACGTGATCACAAAACAGTAAGATATGATTAATAAGTTAGTTTTATGACTCTGGGTTCTGAGGCAGACGGTATAGTCGCTGCAGTTCCTCTTTCCATTGCATCTCATTAAACAACACACGTCACTGTCATTCTCTCACATATTCAACATTTAAAAACTGTTCTATTCAACATAAGAAACATAAATCTGTCCCAAATCAAGCCACAACAAAACGTGCACCTGTCACATTAGAATAAAACGTACATACTTTGTCTCTACTTTGACTTTTCTTCTGCTGAATTGTGCGCGCTGCAGTTGCGTATTTTTTCTTCTTTTCTTTCTTTAACTGATCCGGGCTTCTCCGTGCGTGTCCCGTGGATGCTCCATGGTGTGTCCGGAAGGAGTCCTGTTTGCGGGGAAGAAGGACCGTCTGGAAGTGCCTGCAGCCGGCTGGAGATGCACAAAGCCCAGGCGACAGAAGGGAGTGTGTGAGCGGGGGGAGGAGGAGGAGAAAGAAGCGCAGCGGAGAGGAAAGAGGAAGAGTCGCGACGCACACGCACCGCGACGCGACGCGGCGCAAACGCGATGGAACCTGGTGGGTATCCCGTATGAGGCCTTTCGTCTTGTAAATATAGCAAGCAGAAGGCTGCCTCTGGACATGTCTACAATGATTTTCTGATGTATATCAAATTATTAAGTGGCATAAATAAGAAAAAAGCAGTAAGGACTATTAACATTTATACTGCGTACAATGTTTGACTGTACATGATTTTGTTTTTCGCTTTAACCCTCTGGCTGGCTGATTGTTCATTTGTATGCATATTGTACACCTGCACTTTTGAAGAAAAGTGTGCTATATGTGGTCCTCTGCTGCTAACTCAAAGTAGTTTTTAAAGATAAATATTGAAAAACGTCCCTAAACCCTAAAAGTAGTCAAGTAATCATGTGTTTTCAAATAGTAATAGAATTGACCATGAGTCTATAGTCTCCAAAAATTAATACAAAATATTTTGGAGCAGACCGATAAAAATAAACCAATGGGACTTGTTCATTACCAACGAACCAATGGGATGCGTTTACCCCCTTCACACTCTTCCTGTTTCTCGCGACTGTTCGCACCTGAGTTATCGGATTATTTTCTAAAACCTTAAATGGCTGAACAGAAAATACCAATTTCACGTTTGCCACCCACTCTCCCTGTTGTGACAAAGAAAAGAAAATGCTGGATGTTTGGTTTGGTGGAGAGGCGAGTTAACAAAAACTCTTACTGCATCTTTAAGATCTTCAACACAAGTTCAAGGTATCATCGAGCCAACTTCAGCTCAGCCATTAGACGTGTTTGTTGTAAACCTCTGGAAGTCCTCTGGAAGGAGTTGTTGACTGTATTTGTAAAATGCTGATATTTGTGTTTGATTATGTCACAAAATTCCATTAATGGCATCAATACAGCTGGTGAGATGGTCATTTGTCATTCAGCCAACTTCAGCTCTGCCATAATATAAAGCTCAGAACAAGTCTGGTTAACTAAACCCTTTTACTAAAAACCATCGATCTAACTGATACTAAATGGACTTTTCACCAAAGCTGCAGTTCACAATGCGAGATAAATGTTTTTTAAATAATCAGTGTTGGGGAAAATTATTCTGAAATGTATTTAGTACAAAATAGTTGCTTTGTTTTAGAACATATTCTGTGCGTGGTCTGGTGCTGCTCTCTGAACACTCATTTGCAGAATAATATGCAGCGTTTGATCTTTGCACCATTTTTCACCAGACAGTCGTCGACTCTGACAGTGTTCAAACCTGCAGGTCGGAGACAGTACTGTTTGGCTGTGCGTACAACTGAAGGATTTTATTGTTACGCCTGGTGGTTCTTTATGATTTTAATCTATTGTGTGAATTTAATGTTTGTTTCCAATATTTCATGTGATCTCTTTTTGATGATTTATGCCTTTTGTGAACGGGCTGTGAAGCACCTGAAATAAAGGTTGATTGATTTGTATTCATTTGTTGTTATTTCTAAACGAGTTTCTGTTTTTTGTGCTATGGATCGAAAGTGCAGAAAGGGGACATGGTAGTTTCATTATACAGTACGTGTTTGTTAAAATCATTTGAATTTTGAAAAGTAACAGTATTAAGTACCTTCTAAAAATAAGTTATATATTCCAAACAGTTTAAAAAGTATTCTCTATTTTTTATCGGTTTGTAATGTTTGTTTACTCTCCAACACGCTAAATAATACACTATTATTGGAGCCCTGAAGTGACCAGGGGTAGAAATCCCATTCATTCTGGCAAAACTAAAATGCAATAAAATCTAAATGCTAAAATATACAACATGTTAAGCTCAGGGAAAATAAAAAAAAAGACAAAAAATGTGCAGACCACAAACTCTGCACAGATGTGGATTGAAACAATATGAGGAAAATGATACTGCTACTACAAAGAATACTGCTGCTCTGCTCCTGTTACGACCACACCCCGAGTCAGTTTCAATGTAATCTGCTGCAGGAATATAAATCCTCAGAGACACAGACTACTTGTTATGTCACAGGGTAAGAGCGGCCAGAGTCACACATACTTTAAGATGATATTAAAGCTAGGGTACCTACATTTCCAACCAAAAACACTGTAATAAATTCCACCTAAGTCATAGGTGTCCTTTTGGTAAGAAAGCCACTTTAGTGCAGGCTGCTTTTTATGGGATTCAGGCTGTTAATTAGCTATGATGACAGGTCCATATTTTGACAAAGCTGAAGTTGGCTGAATGACAAGTGACGTCCAATCCACCAGCTATGCTATCGTCATCACATACTGTTGTCACTCCAAAAAAAAAAGCCAGTATATTCCAATAAAGTCAACGGAAGAGGTTTTGAGCTTTTCTACAGGTTTAAATGATTAAATGATAATAACACATTGTACTTATGGACTCTCAAAGACGCTTTACAAAGGGACAGGTTCATAAGGAATAAACATAAAAAGCTAAAATAAACTGTTTTTTGTAGGCAATTTTGTAAACGGGGTTCCTGATGTGAGTGAGTTCCAATGTGCTACAAGGCTCTTTCAGTTGGGACAAACATTTAAGAAATCAAATGTCTTGTACCTCAGCTTTTAGTAACATTTAATAAACATTCACATTTGTTTAAAAAAAAAAAAAATTTAATACAGGACTTTATTGTGGGCTCCGACTTACAGCGACTTTCACCCAGTGCCAAACTAAAGTGTGAGACAAAGATCATTGAACCGTGCAAACCAAACCACAGTCTTATCGACCAAACACGATCCAGCCACAACTACCTGTCAAATAGTTCACAATTCTAAAAAACAAAAATACTGAAAAACATTGGCATGATCTTTTGAAGTGGCTGAATGGAGACACAGAGACATGAGAGTGGGTCTTTACAAGAACGAGACCCAACAAGATTTTGTCTGTGTTTAATCTTAAAGGGGCAGTATGTAGATTCTTCGTCCCGCAGTGGCGAAATTTCAGTGTTGCATCATCAGCTACAGAACGGTAGGAACGAGGAGCACACAGCAAAAGATAAGTGAACAATAACTTTATTATCTTTACTAAAACAAAATATAATCTTTAGCATAATACAGATCTAGCTTAAAACATATAAAGAAGCAAGAGTTCAAGTATCAAATGTTAATCTTGCTTACAATATGAAATATTGTATATATACTCTGGGGTTGGGGGTCTCGTATAGAGTCATTAGAATTACCCCTTTGTTGCCAGAATCGTGTACAAATGCAATCCACCTGCTGGAGTTTAATTTCATTTAAATATGTGTGGTGCAGTGTTCTTCATTGATTTAGTGATTTTTACTTTTTCTTTTTAACATACAAGCCAAAACCAGCTAAATTTCACCTTCTGGGAACCCAAATGCACATTCAGATTGTAAATGTTATATCCATTGTATTTTGAATCAAGAATAACTTGTGCATGGCGACCTGTTTTCTGGGGACACTTAGATGTTATTTAAAATGAAAATATTACACTCCTTTGCAAACATATTATCAAGAACACAATTAAGCTGAAAATATAATCGCTCCCACATGTCTGGACCCCTCTATCGTCTACTTTGTGTGTGGAAATGACAAGGAAAAACCACGATGGACAAAAGCTGTGATTGATTGTTGCTTATGCTGCATATCTCTTCTTGACCTGCGATCTTCTGCTGAAACAAACGAATTGGACATTTGATCTGGTTCTGTTCCCCATGGTTCTGGCTTCTGGTCTCACGTGTGTGTAACTGTGTCGAAGTGTTTTGTCAGTTCCGTTTTGTGTGCAGCTGCAGTGGAAAATTTCACACTTGCAAAATCTTTTCACAAAGTAAAAAAAGAGGAAATGCATTTGGTTTCAAATTCCTCCGGTCAATGAGGGTTGTGCCGAGGGGAAATGACTGTGTGACGGTAAAATATGTTAAAAAAGGAAAAGAACAAATCACACATGAGGCAAGCAAAACGGAATTTTGGGCCAGAATGTGTGACTCTCTGTGACGTGAGGAGTGGTACCGCCGCTGGTCTGCCACTGAAGGCTCTATTTTCTCATTGTAAGGATGTTAGAAACTCTGTTCAGAAGTCTCCATCCCCTCGTGCTCAACAGTGTGTGATGCTCCTTTAACAACAATGACAGCTTGGAGTCTTGTTGGTGGATAAGGTTCTTTATCCACTCTAATCCAAAGCCTTCTGTTCCTATACATTCCTGGGCCACCGTGCATGAACATTTTAGACCTCCACATATCGACGTGGGGATGTTATAATTTCAAAATGGAAATCTTCATGACAAAAATTGGCTTTACACATAAACAGTTTTGTGTTATCATATGAGATGGAGAACCAGGATCTGAACCCAGAACTTTCTTGCTTAGAAGCGAGAGTGCTATCCACTCAGCCATCATCCCGCCCAAGATGAAACAATCTGGGTGTCCAGAATGATATGCTCTGTCTGTAACAGACATGGATCTCATCTCACAGAGGCAATCGCACAGACTTCTACATGGGAATTCTCATCCTCACAACACAATGCTGACACTCAGAGAAGTGGATTAATTTTACACTTCCTGTGTGTCAGTCAAAAAAATAAAAAAAACATGACAAGAATAATAAAAACATATTTATATCAAGTAATTATATTGTTTTTTGCCACAAGCAAATGTCACACTCAAACATTTGTACAATTCAGCTAAAATCAAATTGCACATTATGAAATGTCTTTATTCATCATCAACATATTGTTAAAAGACTTCTCAGATCTCAGTTACATGTACAACGTTGTCATAGTGTAGGTTTCAAACATGTCTGACTGATGCTGCCTTCATGTGATCTCGGAAACTCTGACATATCTCTGTAATCCCAAAATCAGAGCGTTCATGAGGAGCTGGTCACACAGCAGAAAAAGAGTGCAGTAACGATTATATTTTCTGTGCCTTTCTCTGTCATGAGAAATGGACATGCCATGCTCATGGACAAAGTTTTGCTCCAACTTGTTTAAAAGTAAACTCATCTAGCTCAGTAACCGTTTGCGTCAGAGTCACTATTTTGGGCTAAAATATGTGGTTTTGGGCTCTCTGTGATCCTAACATTTATAGTTTAATATTGTCTTTGTACATCCATATATGAGCCCTAACCTAATCCGACCAGCGATCTTCTGTTTCTGAGTCTGGCTACAATAATAATGCATTGGTTTTATATAGAACTTTTCTGGACACTCAAAGACGCTTCACATGTGTCATTATTCATTTACTCCATACACGGTGGTGATAAACTATTACTGTAGCCACAGCTGCCCTGGGGCACACTGACAGAGGCGAGGCAACCAGTCTGTGCCATCGGCCCCTCCGACCACCACCAACCATTCACACACACACCAGACTCATTCTAGGCAATGGGGGTGAAGTGTCTTGCCTAAGGACACAACGACAGTTTGACACATTAAAGCCGCAGCCGCCCCACTGTGGTTGGTGTTCCCAGAGGTTAAGTGTCTTGCCAAGGACACAACAACAGCAGACAGTGGGAGTCCATGGTGAAGGTCGGGCTCGAAGCCACAACCCTCTGGCTCAAAGGCCAATGCTCTGCCAACTGAGCTACTGTCGCCTTATACAAAGCGAGTAGTGTGAGCATGTACCGACCGCCGTTGCTCTTGATTGGTTCTTGGTTGCTCGATGGTTGCTACTGATACGTTTGCATAAATATGGCTCCAGATATCCGCTGAAACAACCTGTTTGAGTTTGCGCTAAGTGGCTTCTTCCACAATAAGGCAAACACGACGCACAACATTAGCACTCCTTCTACAGCCTATGGATATGAGTCATAGAGAATGACCCAACAACACATCGTCAGGAGGCTAAAACTAACCTGTTTCACCACAGTCGAAACCCAGCTCATGTTCTCTATTCATGTTGAACAATCCTTGGTAAAACTGCTTCACAACAGTAGGAAGCATTGAAATTGAAGCAACACATTAGTTTGCATTTGCCCCTGCTATGTATCATATGTCCACATAAGGATTTGCCTACAACAAGCTGCTGTTCAAATCAGCCTCAAAGGTGACGTCAGCACAGAAGCAAGTTGCATTCAATGGCGACTTTTCTAAGAGGGACGTTTCTTCCGGGTTTTCTGAGATCACATGAACGTAACATGAGGTCCTTGCCCTATCTCTAAGGGAGCGCACAGCCACTCAGCTGGGGAGCCTCATGAGACTGCTGTGTCCTTTGGATCATTCCCCAAAACTCCTCCCTCTTCACCACAACAGTCCGATACAGAGACCGCATCACTGCATAGATCTGCACTCCACCGTCTCCTCTCTGTGACCAAGACCTGGACCTCTTCCTTTTGAGCCTTAGTTCCTGTTTCTGGGCGAGCACCATGGCCTCAGATTTGGTGGTGCTGATTTTAATCCTAGCCGCTTCACACTTTCCCACAAAGGAAATAAGGGGGTGCAAATACTATTGCTTATTTGATCTCCCCCTGTTTGAGTATTCATCTGAAACTAGAGGTTTTCTGATACAAAAAAAAATATGATTCTGATACGATAGTCACAGTCATTTACTCAAATTCACTTCAACTAAAACGTTAAGTAACACGGAACTTTCCAAACTCACATTAAAACATCATATCTGTCTTGGGTTCAAGTCAGGTTTGGACCTTTCTCTCCACCAGATCTACTTATGACCTGCTTTAGTCCTATTTTAGAGATACTTTGCTTGGGTAAAAGACCTCGATAAGACCACTTTGTCCTTGGTTCGGAGCAGTTTAGTCCTGGTTAAGTCTGTACAATATTTTTGTCCAGGTTTAGCTCTGGTTTAGAGCAAGCAGAAGTTGGATAAAACATGTAACGTCATTCCTCATTCCCAGGTTCTGCTCCTTTACATTTTCTTGGTTCCGTCACTTTGGACTTTTGTCTTGGTTTCTCACAGTGATCATGACTTTTCTCTTCGGCTTCACAGCTGAGGGAGTACAAAAATGAGAACATGAATAAGGCATGGTTTAATCTGAAACCTTATTTTCAGTCAAGTTTTAATGCTGTTTTATTTAGATATCATAGGAAAGGCTAAGGCTAGAAGAAGTGTAAAGAAGCCAGTACTGCTGAATTACCAGATACAGTATGTTTCAGCGGGAAGTGCCTTTGTCGGAATTGACATGGGGTGTTGTGACATGTCTCTTATCAGCTGTTGTTACCTGATGCAGTCACTGACCACGCCCCCTGCTGCACGGTGATCTCTGGAGAAGTGAGTCCTAAGTGTGAGCCAAGGTGAAGTCCCCCTCGTCTCCGTTGATGGTCCGCATGCTTCACTTCATGACGTTGATATCTTCTTGTATCTTTTTTTATATTTATGTGTTTCTGTTTGTACTATTTTTGCACTGTTTCAGTCCATTAGTATGACAGTCAGATATCATGTGTTGCTTTTTACTTAGTTGATCTAGTTTATCGTTCTGCTGTTTCTTTTTCATTTTCGTTCTGATGTTCTCACACTTGGAACAGCGTAGACCACAGTGCAACCGGCCAGTTTGGTAGATCCACCTGATCTGTCAGACAACATCCGGTATCCGGTAACAACAGCTAACTACTAAGCTAACGACTAAGAAATGGTTTCAGATACGGACAATTCAAGCGTTAGACTGACCCTTGTCTGAATCCGAGTCTCTCTTCCTCTTCTCTCTGCCACTGTCCCCGCTCTCCTCCTCCCTCTCATCAGAGCTGCTGCGCCCCGCTGGTTCCTCTGGGGACTACGACAATAAGAACACAGTCCTTTTCAGAAGCAGTGCTAACAGAGGACAGAGCTTAGCGTCAAACTGAATCTGCCGCTGCAGTATATTCAGAATGCTGCAGCTCCAATCCTGACTAGAACCAGAAAGTACAATTCTCATTGGCTCAGAGAATGCTATAGGAGCCAGACTCAGAGGAGCACAGGGACTGGCCTCCTGCTGGTGCCCAGAGTCAGAACGAAACATAGGAATGCAGCTTAACAGTGAGAGACAGGCTTCTACTCTGATACATTTCAGGTTGTAAACAGTTCTGTTTTGAGTTGCATTCAATTAAAGGATTGTATCTTCACTCTTTCTTTTTTAATTCACTGTGATTACTTCTATTTTCACTTTGTGTTGCCTTGTATGATCTGTGCTATACAAGTAAACTTGCCACGCCATAAATTCGGAATTTGACCTGGTCCTAATTTATACCAAAATGATGAAATTGACTAAAATAAGAGGGACACATTTTGATAATTCACATTTCCAGGAGTTTTATTGATGATCAAATGGTAAAATCCAGTTTGTTCACCTCTGGAAAACCTTAGAGCCCTAAACCTGGAAGACCTCCATCGACTGTCCTTTGTGGTAACGAGGTCCCAAGACATAAACCTGTTTGATCAAACAGCAATTCAGCTAAAGCTAGGACACCTGATTTTCTCTGTGCATCTGTATGTGCTATAGTGAGTTCAAACAGGTATAGTAAAATCAAGTTAAATAAATAAGTGGGAAATAGATTATAAAGAAGGCCACACATGATGCAACGACACCTCTCTACTCTACTCGGCTCGACTCTACCTGGTTGCGTTTCCATTACACTTTTGGATCTGGTACCATATCCTAGCAACTTGGTAACCATGGCTTCCAGCTGAACTCAAAGGGCAAAGCATGTAGGGCCGGTGGAAACGCCCCCAATCAGAGTAGAGTAAAGCCAAGTAGAGTGGAATAGGGCCAAGTAGGGCTGGTGGAAACGGGGCTCATGAAATACAGAATGATAGAATTGTAAAAGTGACCCAATAATAAGCAAATTTTTCCGCATAACTGTCATGTTGTATTTAATTGATTTAGTTCAGGAATTGATCAATTTAATCCAACGCTCTATTTCTTAGGTTGTATATTTTTCTCTCAACAGAAGCAGACCTGAAGCAGAAAACAGGATACTCTCTAGAAAAGATTACCTTGAGAATAAAGCCATTATTGACCGGTAAATGACATACGTTCTGAACGGACGATGAGGAGTTGCGTTTCTGTGTTGCAGAGTTCAGGCTCTCCAGCAGTACCACTGTCAAACACAAGAGGGCCTCAGTGTTTGCATGCTTCATCACTGCTTAATTGACTATTCATTTGTCTGACTTTCCCCAAATATCTGGACTTTCTGAGCCTCACATTTAGAAGAGGAGATGCTGATACAGACAACAAAAACATTCTTAAACTTTAAAAAGTTCCCTATTCACTGTGGTTGTGGTTAGCCATGCTTCAAAGTCAATTCATTCATTGTGGTTAGCCAAGCAGCACACTTTTTATGTGAAATAAAGTGTATATTTTGTGTATTGACCTTGTGGCTGTGAGGTTTTCTGCTGCAAGGTCAGGAGTGCAGGTGTCAGCAGAAAACCTTCCAACTATTGAGCTTCAGCATCAGAGAGCCCTGATGACAGTCGATGCTCCGTACTGACTACTGTGACAGCCACGAGGTCACTACATGGTGAAATACTAAAATATATGCACTTTATTCACATAAACATGGCATAATGGAAGGTCTTAACGCCTTAAATGTCTTAAACAGAAAGACCCAGGCGACAGGGATTGAAACCCACAACCTTCCAGCTGTAAAGCACGAGCACTACCCTCAGTCACCGCCGAGTCTCTACTTTTAAAAGGTTATAGAAGTTAATTGTGCAATATCAGGAGCAAAACTGTTTGTGTGCGCACCTGGCCTCAGAGAGATGGTCAGCACCGGCACCTTCTTCCCCTGGTCCTGTTCTCCATTCAGCTCCTTCTGCTTCGGGGCCTTCACCTCAGACTGTGAACGAACACCATATTTTCACTCAAAGACGTCTCGTAACTTTGCTTGAGAACTCAAACTTCAGAACGGTATTAGCAAATGAAATGTCTCATATCCTGTATACACTTTGTTACTTTGAGCATTAGAATTATGTTTCATTTCTGCAGCGCAATAAAACATCATGTTTCCTGCCCTTGCTTCGATCTCTCACCAATCTCTCTCTAGTCTTTCCCTGGTCTCTCTTTCCGGTCTCTCTTTCTTTCATGTGACAAAATCAAAATAGAAAAAAATATACTGTAGCTATTCCCTGTGCTCTTTGACGCATCAGCTCGGCTTGTCTCTGTACCCGAAAATTAGAATCTTATTCTAAAATACCATCATCTTATCTTAAAAAAAAAAAAAAAATGTAAATTTCTTCTCTGTGAGATAAATAAAGCACATCTTATCTTATCTTTACGCAAAATGATACTATCAAGCCTATATTTGTTATATGATGATAACTGACATATATAATATTATTTTCACATTTCAAGTTGAATTACAGAAATAAATGAACGATATTCAAATTTTCCTGCTTGATCATGTTTTAATTGTTGCTTTTTAAACGTACGGGTCTCGGCTCAAACGGGTCCGAGGGCACATGCTCAACATGCTTTCTCCTTGCCGTGGTGATGTACTTGAAAATAGAATTATCCTGTGCATTCTAAGTGACTTTACAGCGCAGTCCAAAAGTCAGCTCTTGGCTTCAACACAATGTTCCAAATCCTGTCAATGCTGAGGGGAGTTTTTTTTGTGTGGACCAGCCTTGTTTAGCTGCTGTGGACTTTTGAATGCATCCATTAAATGAATGGGGCTCGCTCGCTAACACATGCGCAAATGCGTTTTTTTCACATTTTCTTGCGGGAGGGGCCACTCGCTGCCATTTTCAAAAAGATGGCTGGATGACACATATTATTCAAGATGGGTGTCACTACATCCGTTAATATTTACAGTCTATTAAACGTACACATTGATGAGGCTAAAGCGCAGACCTGTGTGAGTGCGTCCTGTCTGGCTGTGGTTGCAGTGGTGGTGGTGGTGGGGGTTGGTGGGACAGTGATGGCAAGGCTGGTCTCAAGGGTCTTGGGGGTCTCTGGGGTGGGCTGTTCACTCTGGGCCTCTTCTCCTCTGCTGTCCTGCCTCTGGGCGGGCTCTGTGGCTCCCCCTACAGGAGTGCTGTCCACAGTCACAGCTTTACTCTTTCCAGAGTCGGACAGATCCAGAGGTCCTTCACACTGACACAACAGAGAGGGATTCAAATGATTCAGCTGCAAATAGTTCAAACCTGAATTATGAATATAAAATCTACAAACTATAACATTGTAAAGAACTAAAGATTTATTTGCTGAAGACAGAATATACTGTGTTTGAAAGTTTACAAGCTCAGCCAGAGATGTCATTGTTTTGATTATGGAGAGAATCAATGAACAAAAGGAGTTTTCACAATTGTATTCATTGGATAGCATAGAAATATCTTACTGCATATTTTAGCACAACACACAAGAGTCTTACAGGAGGTACATGTCTTTAGTCTTCCTTGCAGATGTGTTAGTGTCACCCACCTCGTTGCTCTCCTCGCCCCTTCCCTCTCCATTCTGGGTGCTCTGGGTGCTTTGGGTGCTCTGGGTGCTCTGGATGCTCTTGGACCCCGGGGAGTCGTCCTCGCTCTGCAGTCTGAACACCACAGTGGGCTCTTTGGCTGGAGTCTCCCGCACGCTGCCCGGTTTATGCCACACCTGCCCCGGAGCGAGCCGTGTCTGCGGAGAGGGGCTACTCACGTGCTTATTGGAAGGGATCAAGTTCGGGAAGCGTGTTTTGGAACCCTGCCAGAAGATGAAAGACACAGCTTTAAAATCAGGAATATTCAGATTCTGTTTGTTTGTGTTCTGCAATTGAAAAACACATTGGAATATTCATACCAAAAGTTTGTACGATGGACAAAAAAACCAATCTGAAATATGCTAACCCACTTTCAAGCAAACCCAGAAAATCGGTCATATCTAGCACGCTCATGAGGAGCAGGTGACATTGCTGACACATAGGTACGGCAAAATCAATCTTCTGAGAATAATAATCTTAAATCAATGGAGAGGAGAGGGTGGAAGGAAACCAAGCTATCGTGTGGATGAAGCAGACCCTGAGGACTTGGCAGATGGACGGACAGACGAACAAAGGGACCCGCCCAGGAAAGAAGCACACCCGGACAGAGCCAGGGGGACCGATAACAGCGGAGAGAAGGGCAATGTGGACATGTTGAGGTTTAAGCTGGCTAGAGACTACAGGAGTTTTAGTCTTGTGAGATTTTAAGTTGTAACACAGTGTGAGGGCTCACTCCACCTAGATCCATGACCTACACTCATTACTGCTGGGGGTGTTACCTCCAGGCTCCACCCTATGGCCTGAACCATGGCAGGCCCAAAGGAGGCGACGTTTTGGAGGTTTAGGTAAAGGTAAAGGTGCACTTTATTAATCCCCGTAGGGCAATTCAATCCTCTGCATTTGACCCATCCTGATGCCACGAAGGCTTACGTCAGGAGCAGTGGTCGCCGTAGTAACAGCGCCCGGGAACCCATCTCCAGATGTAGATGCTCGGCTTGGTCAGGACCGGAGCTGGAGGATTTAACCTAGTGAGCATGTTTTTAGTGGTAGGGGAAATTGTTGAATAAAGGCCGCATTCGAGTCACATGGACCTAGTTTTCACCTATTGTACTTTTTAAAAACTTATCATTTCTGTCTGCTTTAAATTCTAAAATAAGATTATGTAAATGTGATTTTTAAGTATTCTTCATGTATCTGATGCTTCTCATACTAATAGAAGTTCCTGACATTAGCATGTAGAGTATGCAGCTAAACACAGGCAGAGCATGCAAACAGAGGGTGTGACCTGTGATGTGGCAGCGGCCCAGTCCGGAGGCTCGCTGAGGGCCCATGGAGCGAGGGGCCCCTGGGCCAGGGGCCTCTGGGAGCTCTGCAGGGGCTGGGGGCGGCAGGGCACCGGAGCGTGAAGGATGTGTCTGCTGTGGGAATGGACTTCAGACCCCGCTGAGGGCACTGAGGGCACTGAGGGGACTGAGGGGACAGGGGCCAGGGCCTTCACCGGGGGAGAGCCCGAGTGAGGCTGCAAGTCTCTCACACTTCTGTGGAACACAAAGAGCAGGTTTTAGAGCGCTGGTTCACACCCTGGCAGATAAAAGGTTTTGGCTAATATTCCACATGTTTGAACACGTTTTTTTTGTGCTTGAGTGAAGGCATTTACTGTGTTGTTTGTTTTCCATTTTCAAATGATCACATTATGGAGTAAGTAGTAAGTAAGTATTTATTTATATACCGCCTTTTCACTGCAGATCTGAGTCTCAAAGCGGTTTACAATTGTTAATTTTTGGGCATTTGTCTCTCACTCCACACAGAGATGGGAGCGCGGTCGCCAGTACAGGAGGCGCGTGCTAGAACTATTGGACATATTTTTAGTGGTAGGGGAAACCGGAGTACCCGGAGGAAACCTACGCAGACACGGGGAGAACATGCAAACTCCACTCAGAAAGGCCCTGGTCCGACCGGGATTCGAACCCAGGACCTTCTTGCTGAGAGGTGAGAGTGCTATCCACTCAGCCACCGTGCCGCCCCAGCCGCTCTGGGGACATCAAAAAAGCAGTTAATGATAAAGTGGTTCAAGGACTGGAGGTTTTTTGTCATGAAAAATGGGCAGCATTACCATCAGAGCGAGAATGTGTGACCAGAGAGAGACTAGCAAGAGACTAGCAAGAGACCAGAGAGAGACCAGAGACAGTGACCAGAGAGGTCTCATCCACAACTACCACAACAGACTCCAAGCTGTCATAGATGTTAAAGTCATGGACTTCTGATGACGGTCAGAATAGAATTTTTGGTTTTCATTATAAATTGAAATAGAAAATATGTTTATTTAAGTTATGGCTTCACACAAGCACAATTTATGAGTGTCAAAATAGTTTGTCTCATCATTCATGATCATTGAAATATGGAAATAAATTCATATGTTAGTATAACTGAAGACACAACTTAATCCAACTTTCATTGCTAATATTTCTTTGCATGGATGGAGCTGAAACATTCTCCAGGTCTGTTTATGAGGAGGAAAAGTGTCGTAACATAAAAGAGGAAAGTACAGAGTAAATGTAGCATCTGCTCAGACCTCCTCTCCGGGACGCGCTGCTGCTGCTGCTTCCACACTGAGGAGTTCTGCACCGGTTTGTACGAGTCCTGACACAAACGTTTCAGACAGACAGAATAAAGGAGTAACCATGACGATAACATTGACACCACATGGACATAAGCCCCGTTTCCACCAGCCATGCTCAACTCTATTCTACTCTACTCGGCCCTATTCTACCTGGAAGCGCTTCCAATACGCTTTGGTATCTGGTACTGTATCCTAGCAACCTACCCACAACAAACCAGCATCTGGGTATGTGTCCTGGTAACCATTGCTTCCAGCAGTACTTTCAATTTCTGGAAGTTTAAGTTAAGTACCAGCTTGGCCAGGACAGAACCAGGGACAAGAGGGACTGAAGAAAGCACCTGATACCGGTTAAACGGGGCTGGTGGAAATACTCCCAATCTGGCTAAAGCCGAGTTGAGTAAGGCCAAGTAGAGCTGGTGGAAATGGGGCTTTCGCATGTGCACACTTACAAAGAGGCGATGCCACTCCCTCAGACGGGCATCATCTGAAACCAAACATGTGATCACCATCAGCATCGTCTTAGATCACTCCATTTCTCATTTCCTGTTTTAGAACTTTAAACTATGTCTTAAAATATGTTATGAATAAATACTGAACACAAAAGTCTGACAAGCGCGGGACGAGAATGTCAGTCTTGTTTGTTGCTCTAAAGTATGGATTTATAGAAAACTGATGGAATGACACGGGACACAGAAAACAATCCAACATTTGAGAAAGCCGTGTTTCCCTGCCAGCTGAGGACGAGCTGTTTTGTTGTTTTTTAACTATAGGAAAATCTCTTTAAAGCCCACAGATGGCCCCTTTTCCATGTGGAGAGTGGTTTAAGCAGAAATATCATATCCAAATAATATAATACATCCATGTTGTACCTGTGTTCAGTCTGTGAGGTACTTCCACCTTCACCGTGACGTCGCCCTCTGCTGGCTGACTGCTGCTCCTGGACACAATAGCATCACTCACTGCACCATGGCAAAATGCATGGAATGTTTTGGTAGAGAAATGACTTCTTCTCAACAGTTTGCGTGGTTCATAATTTGTACATAAATTGCAGTTTGAACTCACTCCAGCGCGGCGCGTAGTCGCAGGTTCTCGTCTCTCAGAAGCTTGTTCTCCTTTTTCAGGTTGTTGATGTCGGAAACTTAACAAAATATGAAATGGATAAGATTAGATTAGAACTGAAAACTCTGAAATTGGATTTTAACGGTACGATTGTGTCACTCAAACATGATAATTTTAAAGTTTACTTTTCTTTTGTTTATTAAGATTTCATGTTTTGGAAAAAATCCTGAAGTTCGTGAGTTCAAGCCCACCATAAGACCTACTTCACGACTCCCACTGATGACTGCTGTTGTTGTGTCCTTGGGCAAGACACTTAAACCCACTTTACCTGAAGCTCCCACTGAACTGAAAGATCCCAGCTCCTGTGGACTCACCTCCTGCAGGAGGATCAGTGAGGGGCTGGTGCTCTGTGTACTGGGTGCAGCTCTGACTGCCACTTCCCCAACCCAGAAATGGATTAAGGGGAAGAAAAGGGATGGATGGATGGACATGCAAGAGAAAATTATTGCTCTGATGGATGTTAGATGGAACAGAGCTCTGGGAGATGATGAGGCTTGAGAAAAATTTGCATAATTTAACTGTGCATTAAACTTGAAATAGTGAAATAATTTATCACTATTATTTCACTCAACATTGTCTGTTACTTTGCTACGCTAACCCAGAAAAAATAAATAATCCTAAACATTTTATTTAAGATATTTTTTTGTCTTTGTCTACATGTCGTCACGTACACTTTTGTAACTGAGTAACCTTCCGTTTTGACTGTTAAGTTGCATTTCCAGTGGTGCATGCACTGTGGGTTATTCTGCTGCCTTCCAGACCATTGTTCTGACGCTCGCCGGTACTTACCCATGAGTGTAATGTGTTGCATGGTCTGTAGGTGCAGTGCTTCAAACTCCTGCTGTCTCTTCTTGGACACTTCCTGCGTCACGGTGCAGCGGTCACAAAGGCCCGCCCTCAGCCTGCACACAAGTCACTCAGCTGTCAATCAAACTTCATCAGGTTCACTCTTTACACGTCCAACTTGTTCTATTGTCTCCTCAGCCGTGTCCACAGCAGTGTTTGCCCACTGGCACAACAATAGAACACCTCTGACACACAGCAGCCAACTATAGCTCTGAGCCCAAAGAGGCACTCGGTGACTCACGCGGCTCTTCTGCTCAAGAATGCAATAGTTCAACGTTTCATAATGTGCAGTCGACTCTGTTTTGTTTGTTTCATTTATTGCAGCGAACACGGCATAAAAAGGTACCCCAGCTTTAGTGAAATGGTTTGATTAGTCACTCATACTGTAGCGTTGGGTAAAATGTTTATATTACTAGTTACTGGGATAAAATGTAATATATCTAATATATATAAATATGACATTAATAATAATAATAATAATAAGAAGAATAAGAAAACCTTTATTCGTCCAACAGTGGAGAATATTACTGTTTATTTTTTTTATCTTTTTTTACTGTCTTGTCTCCGAGTTGGATGCAAGTTTAAAATTGTTTTCTCACCCAACCCCTTGTTATTTCTGTCTTTAAGTTCTGTAAAATATGCGTAGCACAAGTTTTGAAATGAAAATGTTTATGGATTTGATGGAAAATGATTTACTCAGTGAATGTGGATGTAGCGCATGGGGGCACCTGTTCTCCAGAGTCTTGATGTTGTCTGTGAGGATTCGCTGCTGATCCTTCATCTGCTGGTTCCGGGTGTACAGCTCCTCCATGCGCTTCGTGTCGCTGCAGTCAAACCAAATGTGTGTCAGAATTATTTGAGCAATCTTTGATGTATGAAGAATGATGTTCCACGGGTGCTGGTGGATTTGCTTGTGTGGGAAACTTTCACTCTGATGCAATTATAAAAACATGCATTTCTAACGAGCCACCCAGAAATCCAAATTATTTTAGTCCAGTTCTCAGATCTCTGCGCTTCCTGTGGCTCAGAGAAGAGACTTTAAAGCAGCTTGTTTGTTACAAGTCTCTCATGGCCTCGTGTCATAGTACATCTGTGACATGTTAGTGCTAAATGAATCAACTCGGACTCTGAGGAGCACAGGGACTGGCCTCCTACTGGGACTCGGAGGAGCACAGGGACTGGTCTTCACTTAAAGCTGGGGTACCTAACTTTCAAACCACTCATTATGTGGTGGTATCCATTTACTTCCTGTTTTACTTTGACAAGGCTCTTTATTCAATTTAAATTAGGGTACCCAGCTTTACTTTACTAGTTCCTAAAGAAAGAAACAGTTCAGCAGCCACTCCTGTGTGAGAATTCCCTGAGGCAGCTGTGGCTCGTGCGTCACACTCACCAGCCCTTTTTGTTGGAGAGCTCCTGGAGTTTGAGCTGCCAACCTGTCAACAGAAGAAAAAATGTCATTTTTTTCAGAGCTGTTTTCTGCCATTTAAAAATAAAATATCACCTAAAAAAGGTGAAACAGACCTAAAAAGGTCTATTTTGGTGTTGTCTGCAGTCAAATTGTGTTATTTGCAACCTTGTGCCTGCTATTAGACCACACCACGTTAGATTTATGGTTTCACACTTCTACCACCTAGGGGTTTTTAGAAGTAATACATTTTGAAGTTCAGTTAATTTCTTCTGATACAAAAAGCAAAGGAACAGACATGTTTATCTTTGTCATCATTGTTTCAGATTAAATGTTATATGACAGTACACACGTATGTGTAATATGTGCATGTTTATTTGTATGTAGAAGTACATGTGTATACATGTATTTGCAGTAAAAGTCCTGACCCTCGATGTCTCTGTCATGGCACTCCTGCAGTCGGTGCAGCAGACTGTTGAAGTCGTCCATGTCCCACTCACAGCTGAAAAACATGGAGGATATCAATTAAAATGATCCAGAACTTATACATTACACTAAAACAAATAGACACAGATAAATATAGCCTACATACTCCTGGAAAGATTAAAACTTACACAATTACAATTGTACAATTATACAATTACACAGTTATACAGTGGGGCGACAGTAGCTCAGTTGGTAGAGCATTGGCCTTAAGGCCAGAAGGTCGTGGGTTCATTTCCCACCTCTACACCTTCTCCACCGACTCCCACTGATGACTGCTGTCGTTGTGTCCTTGGGCAAGACACTTAACCCCACTTTGCCCAAAGCCCCCACTGAAAGATCAAGGCTATGCTCTCACTCAGAGAGCAGCCGTCCTCCTGTGGACTCACCACCTGCAGAGGGTCAGTGAGGGGCTGGTGCTATGAGACTTGGGTGGCATCTCTGATTGCCACCCCCCTGACCCAGAAATAGATTAAAGGGAAGAAAATGGATGGATGGACAGTTATACAGTTATACAATTCAGATCACATTCAGCACTAAAGTGTCAAACTGAAGGCTGCAGTTGTGCTCATTCTCTGAAGTTGACCAAGGTTTCTCACATGTGATGCATACGGACATATACAGTGTGCATCATTGCGGCGAAGATAAGTGGGCATATGGAACAATTCATGAGCACAGCACAGAAGGGCATTGGTAGAGACACCAGCTCCTGGTTGACAGAACAGTCGCCCAAGACTGCCGGTCACGACACACCAACCTGTGCACAGCCTGGATTGATTACCAGAAAGCCTACAACTCTATTGCCGCTTTTCCACAGTAACGGTACCATGTTGTGACGTCGGCCGACTGCCTTACACTGATTGGTCAACGAGTGTCATCACTGGAAGCGACGTCCGACCCTTTGGTAAAAACAACTCAACCCCAGCATCTTTAAAACCGGCAGCTATGCTTCGGCTACATTACATCCTCCTCACTCCAGAGAAACCCTAACCCCAACCCTAACCCGCACAGAAAACCCCAAAAGTCAACATCCTGGTTGGTGGACTCTCTTCAGGCTGAAAGAAATAATTCTAAGGCAGCTCGAGGCTCAACACGGAGGTTTAACGAGGTTTTCAGGGAGATCGGATTTGTGACTAGTCTGTGGTAATCCTGGAAATAACTGGCTAGCTGCGTATCCTGTTGGCTCAAAGCTCTCACTGAAATGTATTTACTTGTGTAAATGTTTGATTATCTGTTGTACACGGTGAGCTAGCTACATTTAGCTTCATTTAGCTATCAATAGCAAGCTAATGTGGGGCGACAGTAGCTCAGTTGGTAGAGCATTGGCCTTTGAGCCTGAAGGTCGTGGGTTCAAGCCCATCGTAAGACCTACTTCACGACTCCCACTGATGACTGCTGTTGTTGTGTCCTTGGGCAAGACACTTGACCCCACTTTGCCTGAAGCTCTCACTGAAAGATCTCAGCTCCTGTGGACTCACCACCTGCAGGAGGATCAGTGAGGGGCTGGTGCTAAGTGTACTGGGAGGCATCTCTGGCCACCCTCAGTGGCCCCATGGTGCACATCCACTCTGCAGTTCTGAAATATGTTTGTAGTTGTACTATTTCAAAATAAAAAAAAAATACATTCACCTCTTTCAATGTGCTTTGTTTTATAGTAGGAAAACAAATACAGTCTGTAACGAGTCTAAGAAACTTTATTATGTAAAAGAAGATTTGAAGTTATAGCCAGAAAAATATACACAATGTCCCTACTAAGACAAATAATTACAAGTGATGGTAAGGCAACTTTTGTGTTATCACTTTTTGCTCAAATGAATAACACTGTTATTATCCAGGTCCTTATCCATCGCTGCTGCAGCGAACACTATCAGAGATATCTAACAAAATGTTAATCTTTATGTTGTAGCTTGTTTGAAAACCTTTCCTCAAAATAATTCATAAGCAGCCACGCACACACAGCCACAAGCACACACAGTCACAAGCACACACAGTCACACACAGTCACACACAGTCACAAGCACACACAGTCACAAGCACACACAGTCACACACAGTCACACACAGTCACACACAGTCACACACAGTCACACACAGTCACACACAGTCACAAGCACACACAGCCACACGCACAGACAGCCACACGCACAGACAGCCACACAGTCACACACACACACAGTCACACGCACACACAGTCACACGCACACACAGTCACACGCACACACAGTCACACGCATACACAGTCACACACAGCCACAAGCACACAAGCACACACAGTCACACGCACACACAGCCACGCTTCAGGGGCCCAGGTTGAAGGAACTGGAGTCTTCCTCTGGCAGAGATTTTCCTTTGAAACACAATAGAGGAGACATCAGTTTTATCTACTCAAATATGACTTTGATATATTCATCATCAACATCATCAGTATTTATTGATCACCAGGAGTGGCCCCAGATCCACAGGATCCTTGAACATGTTTATTTGGACTGTGAGAGACTGCATTGTGAGAGAAAGACACTTACATCGGCTGTTTTGGGAGTCGAGTGATTATCTCACTCCTCTTGATTGTTGAAGAAACTCAGCGACAGTTTTGTCAACACTGACTCCTGGAACATGATCGATATTCATTTTGGACCTCAGGGCAGCAACACAACTGTAGGGATGAACGACACACACATCACAACATCATTATCATAATCACTGCGTCCCATATATGCATTCACAACAACCTACATGACAAATGTGGGGTGTAAAGTCTTCCTCAGGAGATGACAATGGCCATTCTTCTAATTATGGAAGCAAAGTCTTGTCTTCCCAGTCAATACTAGAGAAAGAAGAGGTCAGCAGAAAAGTATCTAGTCGTTATGGCATTGGTTTTTTTTAAATAGTTATTTAACTTGCATTATGGAGGCTTTTGAACTCTTGTACATTGAAGACCTCATTCCAATTGATTTAGGCCATACTGGAAAAGATACAGAGAAAAGAATGCAATGAAGACATGTAAATTATTACAATGTCTATATTATATCATGCTCATAATTTATTTGGTAGTAGTCAGCAAGACTTTTCTTACTTATTCTCAATACATAATAATAAAAATGTATGTAGTGGTCACGGAAGTTAGATTTGAGGTAAAGAGATATTGTTTTTATAACAATAAAACTAATATACAGAGTGCAAGTTGCAAAACTTAGTCATTGAAGAATGAAATGCAGACCTACATATATATATATAGTGCAAGCAACTATGTTTATTGGCAAAAACAAACGATTCATACAGATCAGAAGTGTTCGTAGCAGCCACACCATATTCACAACTACAGACAGCTAATGCTAACAGCTAACGCTAATGCTAACAGCTAACGCTAATGCTAACAGCCAACGCTAATGCTAACAGCTAACGCTAATGCTAACAGCTAACGCTAATGCTAACAGCGAACGCTAATGCTAACAGCGAACGCTAATGCTAACAGCCAACGCTAATGCTAACAGCTAACGCTAATGCTAACAGCTAACGCTAATGCTAACAGCTAACGCTAATGCTAACAGCTAACGCTAATGCTAACAGCGAACGCTAATGCTAACACCACTTCACGGGGGAACTCTGGTGATATGGTCATTTAATGTTGTACATGTGGGGAACTAATAATTGACCGGAGTTTATGGATGGCTGAGGCTGGGCTAAGGCTTCGATGTTGTGTTGTCTGTTGTTGTTTCTCAAAGCTAAGCCAAGGTAATGCGCAGTTATTGCCACAAAATGCGGCCGTATTTCTACAACAGCTGGGGATTTTTAACTAGCTAACTTGGTGAAAGCCCGCATTACAGTCTCAGGCAACAATATGTATAAATAATACAACTACTACTGCCACTACTGAGTAACATGCTCACCTGTTCAGTCGGAGAGAGGAATCCACGGAGCTAGAGGTCGCCAACATGAATGCAGCTGGTCACCATGTTGCTCCTACTTTTTGTCGTTCCTCTGTTTCTGGCGTTTTGCCTGTATTTAATAGATCCATGGTATTTAGTCTGCAGCAGCGCTGGAGGCAGCTTTTCCTTCTCCGCCATGTTTGTTTTGAAGAGTGCGCGTGCACACACGGGAGAAACCCCTTATAAGGCGTGCTCTCTCGTCATTGGATAAGCGCATAGGATGTGAGGTTTTTTTATTATATAGGTGGGAGAAGACTGGAAGGACTGAGAGATCCATGTTTAGGTACAAACACTCTATATAAGTGATGGCTATTGGAATATATCAATATTTAAGACGTATATTAACACCCAAAAATCGCTTACTGCTGCTTTAAGTTGTCGTGTGTATATTTGTTTGAGAATCCCTTCCCACAAGTGAGGAGATTACCAACGAGCAATGAATGACCACAGTACTTAACATTCTCCTCATCTGGACATGGTCTCAACAAAAAAAAAAATTGGACTTTGTAAATTGTTGGTTTTTGCACTTTACTTTTGTTTTTAAAGGCGCTATACCCGTTTCTGCAAGGTTTGAATGTTGAGCACCGCCCCCCAACTTGCTCAATGGCTTCTCATTTCCCCTACGCTCTAATAACATAGATCCATCTAGCTCTGTTTGCGATCTGACATGTATGCTAACATTAGCATTAGCACAACTTCTTGTAAGCTGTGCAACAATCACTGATGAAATGGTACTAAAGCAACGCACTGCTAAGACAATATATAGGTAAAAGAATACGGCTAGTTTTGCATCCAAATTTATTCATTAAAACATTAGAATATATTCGAGTATTTCATTTTAATTTATTATACAGCTCCTCACCGCAGCAGTAGAACACTCCATTGACTTGAATGTAATTCTACCGATCATTTTTCTTGATAACAGAACTCTCAAATCAATAATGACCGCTGCCCCAATGCAATCTCTGTTTGTAATTCAGGTGTGTAAAATACTGCCATTACTCCGCAAGTACAACGGGAGAAGCTAGCGGAGCTAGCCACACTCAATAAACAACTAGCTTACATATCTATCAATCAACAC